GCGAGCGTTCAAACCTCCATGGACAGTGAGGTGCTCATTGCGGGGTTCATTCACCAAATAAAAAAAATATATGGGTATGTCTGAAAATAGGGTATATTCCCAATTATAGCCATTTAATAGGGATAATGATCATTAACCATTGGGTTTAGGGGTACACTATTTTCAGACACACCGATATAGCTGAGTTATGATAATATCATAGCTATGCTGGTCTATTACATTGCATTGTTTTCCCATATGCGTTTTTGGGCGTTGTTTTTTTTTTTCATTGGGTCGCTTGGGTATCAACATTCACCATGGAACGGGGCCATCCCAAAGAAGATTGTAGTTGCCGCCGGTGCACCCTATAAGTTGGTGTATAAACCCTGTGATTTATAGTATCTTATTGTATTTTATATTATTTTATAGTACTTTATATTCTTTTATAGTATTTTTAAGTACTTTATAGTATTTTATAGTAGTTTATACTATTTTATAGTACTTTATATCATTTTATAGTAGATTAGTAGTTTATAGTACTTTACAGTATTATTTTTAGTACTTTATAGTATTTTATAGTAGTTTATAGTAGTTTATAGTATTCTATTGTATTTTATAATATTTTATAGTCTTTTATAGTTATATGTGGTCAACTTTAGACCCTAAACCATTAGTTGGTGACAATGTTCGGCCAAGATGTGATGACTCAACATCATACTTGCTAACCCTGACCCTCCAAATAGCCGTAAACATTGGCGCAGATAGTGCCAAGAATCCACTTCTTGCGCTCGATTTTGGATGTATGGTTTACATAGTCATTGCACGCTTGTGAGGTTATCATTTTGTAAATAGTTGGTTGATTGAATTTCAGACATATTATTGTAATATATTATGATTATCATCTCACCATTTTATTGATTTCATAGTTGGTTGGCTTAATAAAGTCATATGACAATCGCATTATATGTATAATATTTTACAATATATGTATATATATATATACAGGTTATATACACATATCATTATATATCTCTATGGTACATGTGATAACCCCACGTGCAATCCATTTAAACTCCAGTGCTGGATCCATATTTTTCAACAGGGCGGGGATACCCTTTGGTCATCGAACAGGGCTGGTGGAAAATGCAACGAGGAACCTCTGTCTGGATGATGTTCCAATAAAACCCTTCCATTGAGATTGGGGGATTTCCCATGTTTTCACCAGTGCCATGGTTGATGACACCGGAGGGTTCCATTAATATAAATTATATTGCATATCCATTGTGCCATGGTTAATGAAAGTGATTCCATTGATATTCCATTGGAATTAACCATCAAGATTCCATTCATATTCCATGATATTCCCATCAACAATCCCTATGAATCTTGCATGGTTCCATTTCATATTGTCGGTGATATTCCCATTTTCAATCCACATGATTTATATGGGGCTTTCCATATGCGGGTACCCCAACAGCTGGATGGTTTATAAGGGGAAGTCCATCTATACATGGATGATTTTGGGGTACCCCCATTTATGGAAAACCACCATATCCCAGTAAGTTTCTCTATCACAAAACCTACCAAACTTGGAACGTCGGGGACCACCCTGCCAGGAGTTTCCGGTGGCGGAAGCTGCCCAGGAGACCGGCGGTGTTTCCAGCGCTGGGGTGACCATATCTTCATGAAGAACCTGGGATGAAAACCCTAGGAAAACCATATATGGAAAATGGTGTTTTTTTCTCGGGATTTCATGTGATTTTTTTCGGGGTGATACAGGACTTCATGGAATAGCCTAGGGTTTACTTCGGGTTTTTCATGCAACCAAAATCTCACAACCATTGGGATTTATTGGGGGAAACGTTGAACATAATCTAATGCGATTGCCCTCTGATAAACTAACATAACTAGGGAAAATCACCATGTTTAATGGGTAAATCAACTATTTCGACTGGGCCATTTTCAATAGCAAACTGTTTGTTTACCAGAAGGTAACCAGGCCGAGTGTTGGATTTGTGGCCCAATCAGTTTACATCTTGATCCAAGTCGTCGCCTGAATAGTTCCTCCGCAAAAATCAACGCAGCACCGGTGGTCCAAAGTCATGTGGAGTTCTCTGAAAAATGGGAATGGACCATTATTTGCCATTTAACAATAAAACCATCATTCAATAGGGTGTCCCAAGTTGAATGAATTATTAACCTTATCCTCACTAAAATGGTGGTTTGAAGGGTAATACCCCAGATCATGAACTTGTTTCTCAGGGTGAAGTTACCCTTTTTGGTTGGCCACATCCTAAAAAATTATAGTTGTTGGCTTGTCGGGTACATTCTCGTTTGAGTTGCTTTAGACACTGTACTTCTTGGTCAAAACTGTCTACTGGTTGCCCACATTGTTTCTTGGTCAAAGCCCAGATGTCGGGTATGATCCCCATTGTATCCCCTCTGGTAAACTAACATAACTATGGAAAATCACCATTCTTAAGGGGTAAATCAACTATAAATCACCATTTTCAATAGCTTTTTGTATGTTTACCAGGCCGGGTAATTATTGTGTTGCTTAACTGTTTGTTCAAATATGGCACCCCCATTGTATCATCCTAACTCCATTGGTTCATCAATATTGTTCGGCTTGTTTTTCGATATGTTTCATCCTAAAAGCCATTGGTTCATCATCATTTTCCATTGGAATCTCCATTGGAATCTCCATATATTATGTTTATCATTCTTCCATAGTTTTCATATGGGTATGGGTCAATACCTATGAAAATACCATTTTTACTGGGATGAACATCCATAAATCCCAGCTATGACTTGGGGTTCACTAGGTACCAGGGTTTTGACCCATCCCCATATGTTCTCCAAAAATTGGCAATTTCTGGGTATCCACCAGTTTCAAACACGCCCAACGTCGCACTCCGAAAGTTTCAGGAGTCGAATGCGACGGGCCGAAGCCGCTTGGAAGATGGCGCTGGTGTTTGGCAAGCTGGAAGCCCCATGAAAATGGACTGAAGCAACCAACAGTTGGACATACGTATATATGTATGTATATATAATATTTGATTGTATGTGAACATATCAAATACAGTATATAGATATATATATATATGTAACATATATATATATATACACTCTGTGTGCGGGGGTGTGCGTCAGGACCTTCCAGACAACGAATGGGGAATGTGGGTGAACACATTTACGGAATATTAATTAGGTCAGGCTAGCCGGGTAGCATATATCTATGTATGTCCACAGCCAAGCATAATTAATTTGGAACATGTATAGGCGGAGTTCTTACCTCCAGCTGCATCTGAAGGTATCTACAATGTCGTGTGGTTTCCTCAATGTGGGGGTCCCCAAATCATGGATTTTTTGTCTTAGTTGAGGTGTGGGCCTATAAAAAACTGCGAACAACAACGGGTGTGAAAAAGCAGGCGCCTGGTGTCGATTCCAAGAGCTTGAACAGATCTACAAGGTTGAGACCCTGGCACTACCAAGAGGGCCCATTTGTCTTGAAGGACCTGATGAGAACGATCCATGGGATTCTTTGATCCAAGATCATTAGTTGGATCGAAGAAAACTAGCGGCTTGACAGATGACAAAGGCAAACGGCAGTACCAAATCATAGCGGCGGTGGAAGAAGCACCCAACAGTGGTGGACGTGGTAAGACCGGAAATATCACCAGACTGGGGAATTGATTTTCCAAGATACTGTAAATGTTTGTTTTTTTTGTTGTTTTAAAGTTCTTGTATTACAATCTACATAGATATAATATGTATATATATTTAAATACAATTGAATACATAGAAGGAACCATTTGCACCCAAACTAAGAAGATGAGCACATCCGATCAATGGGATTGACATGAAACATAAAAGCCTGAGCGAAAAAAACGGCTTTCAAGGGCACAGAAATCTTGTGTGTCCGCCAATTTGCATGTTTTTTCCTCAACTAGATCTTTAACTTGAGGTAGGGGTGAAATTTTGGTCCTGTATTGTTTCCATTGAAGCATCCATCTTGAAGTCCTGCTTTTAACTTGGAGAAGAATTCAAGGCCCCATAAAACACGTATTCGGGTCACTTGTGCTGACATCTAACAACCATCTGGATTCATGTGTGTGTGTGTTTGTGTCACGGTCAAAACATATTGGGGGATGGTCATATCACCCGTAAAATTTCCAATATCGGATGTATGACCATAAACAAATCATCATAGTAAGAAAACGTCATATCCCCAAAAATATGCCCAAAACGGTGATATCCCAACATATCCCAACAATTTGGGTTGCTTCGATCACCACCAACTTGACCAGTGTCGAAGAGGGACCCCGATGGACTGCTCAGGACATAGCACCTCTTCCCAAACATCTTGTGCTTCCTACTCCTCCCAAAGGACCAGATGCTCCGCATTTTCCCCCCGGCTGGGATATGAGGTGGTGCTGAACACCTTTGTACTGGCAAACATCCCTTCCGTGTTCATCCAAAATGATGTTTTCCTACCGGAAATCCTGGAAAAAATTGGTCAATCTATGATTAGTGATGTTTGCAAGCCAACATTTTCCCATGAAAAGTTTTATAGGGTCCCCAGCTATAAGTTGGTTTACCCATTAACTATATGCTCCATTCATCAAGCATAGTTATAAGTTATAACATATTATAAAATGTTATAAACCAGCTTAGCTACCTAGACCTAGGGGGGTCTCACCTTGCAAACCTCATATTTTCACATACCCTCTAGAGTAAACTTTCACGTAACTTTCTATGGAAACCAGAACATGTTTTTTTTTTTTCCGTAAATCAACGAACTTTCTATGGCCACGGAATAATAATCCAAATGGTTATAATACATGTATAATTGTTAGGAAAAATTACAAACATATTGATGATGAATATTTTAAAACATATACTGATCATCATATTTATAATATATGATAAATATATATTTATATATCTTATTGGTAACATTTATCATTCATTGACACTAAGAATACTTCAGTATTCCCATGAAAACGGCGAATTTTCCCATGGCTTCACCGCCCAGGAGCTCGGCCCCGCGGCGCCGCAGCGTGCCCTCTTGGCCGCCCCCGCAAACAGCAGCATTGGCAGGGTCGCTGAAGCCAAGACGACGTGGCTTGGCGGTTGACCCGAGATAAAAATGGTGAAGAATGGTAGATTTTGATGAGATTTCATAGGGCTTTATCAGGGTTTCATAAGGATTTTATGAGAATTTCTGAGGGATTCTATGAGGATTTCAGTTTTTTTTTCGGAATTTCAGGAGGGTTTTTCATGGATTGAGACAGCAAAACTTTGGATTTAACCAACAACTCGACTTGAATCAATGAGAATAACCTTCTTGAGCAGATGCATCACCTATTTAGCAAACCATTCCAGGAAGTGGTTCATACCCCCTGGTGAATCAATGCTCGATCACAGGATAGTAACCCCACGATCAACTCCCACCATTTGCCCCGCTTCTGGAAGAGTTCGACGGGATCTTTATCATCATTGTCATCATTATCATCATCATCATCATCATCATCATTAGCAGCAGCAGCAGCATCACCATCACCATCACCACCATCATCATCATCATCATCATCATCACCATCATCAACATCATTGGTATGATCATCGTCTTCTTCTAACGGAATTCTTGAAAATTGGTTCAAAATGCACCGTTCCAGCACTTTGGGTTGCACTAACAGTTCAAACAGAATCCTAACGAACCGTTGCAAAATGCACAGTTCCAGCAATCTTGTTAGAACGACCGAACAGCCTTAATAGAATCCTAGCAAATTGCTGCAAAATGCACCCACCCCACCTTAAACCATGATAATTAGATCATCTTGGGCGCAGCATCAAAGTCTTGCGCAAGGTCGAGTGAGCGTTATCATTGCCCCTTTCCACCCCACCCCACTGATGCAGCATCAAAGTCATGTGCAAAGTCGGGCCAACCCATCCCATGTGAGCGTTGCATCAACATCTTGTGCAAGGTCGAGGGAACGTCGTCGAAGGAACGTTAACATCCCCACCCCAACCCACCCCACCCCATGTGAGCGTAGCATCAACATCTTGTGCATGGTCGAGGGAACATGGCCGAGGGAACGTTAACATCCCCACCCCACTCCATTCCACCCCACCCCATCCTACCCCATGTAAACTGCGGGGCAAATGGTGGGCGTTGCGTCTAACCCCACTACTTACTGATCCCTTCCGAATGTAAGATTTCACATGAAATGCCCAGAAACCACGGTTTAGTATCAGGGCCAGTCATTTACTATTTGGTAAGGTCCTCCTAGTGTTGTTGGTCTCCGAGGACTCATCAAAAGTGATATCTCCAAGTTTGGTGAGTTATAATTTACAGTAATTCATACGCCAATTTTGGATTTTGAATAGCAAATAGTACTGACTATTACCTCTATCTCGGCTCCATGTTTGGCAAGTATGTTGTCTTATATACAAATGGCATCCCCATTCCATGGCATCCATGGCATCCATGGCATCCACAGGTAGTACCTGTTCAGTGAGCAGCATCACAGATTCCGCGACCACCAGTTCCTTTCGCGGCGTTTTGAACACGCGGGCGGTGCTGCAAGATTTAGAGGGCTCCGAAGAGTATGATTCTTGGCTGCACCTAGATCCATCAAAACATGTGGCGAAATCAGAGTGGTATAACCACCTTAAGATGTTTTAGGGGACTTAACATGACGTAACCACTAAAACAGAGTGGTATACAGTATACACCCACAAAAAATTGCTGGTTGCATGTCGTATTCCGCCTTCTTAGTATGTCCATGACATTTTTAGGGGCCCCAAATTATGGTGTTTCAGCATGTTTAATCAGCATGTTTGGCGGATGCTGATTGAACTTTTGCTCCGCAACTTGTTTGATGACCCCTGGACTGTGAAATTTAACGGCTTTTGAAGTTGCTCTTAGGTATATAAGTTGCTCTTAGGTATCAAAGTCAAAATGATTCGCTTGAAGTCAAACATGTACATATCAATATAGGGGGTTCCTAAAATATGGATATCCCCAAATCATCCATTTTGATAGAATTTTCCAGTATAAATCTATTTTGGTGTGCACCCATTTATGAAAGCCCACATTTACTTGTATCCAATTCTGAGCAGGATCCCCCGGTCCCGTCGCTCCACTACTCCCACTTGAGGAGTGTTCAAAACCCTGGTTTGTTGATGATTTTCGAGGGTAAAAGCAATGCTCCCACTTTAACAATTCACACATACATATATACTTATGTGTATATATATATATACATACACATATATATATATATGTATATATATATATATGTATTGATTGTATATATTATATATATACATAGTGTATATAGTCCCAACAATATATTGTCATATGTTAACTAATTTACCAACAATTCTTACACGAATCATATCAGATGGTCATCCCACGGCAGGGACGGAATCCCTGCCATCAGCACGAGCAGAGCCCAGGAATACGGTCGACTCCTGCCGATCTTGCTGGACATGGAGCGTGAGTCCCCAGGGGAACTTTGCGTGAGACAGTTCTTGGCCGACCCTTGGCGCAAGCGCCTATGGCGCCTATGTCAAGCGGTCAACGATTGTGTTTTTTTTTTATTGGGAAAATCATGGGAAACAAGACGCTGAAATATCCTGTAACATCTAATAGATTAGTCGGAAATCATGGGAAAAAACGAACAAATGGGAAAATGTGCTAAAAATTTCCTATAAATGGAGGTGTCTAACAGTGAACATCGGCTATTATTCTGTGCGAAAAAATGCCATGAAGATCCGGAACCGGAGATATACAGGACCCAGCTAAAAGATAGTAGTTGGATGTTTTTCGGTAGGGTAGTGACGTAGTGTATCTATAAGATTTGTTGTCATTGAAAATATGAGCTAGCCATTGTGAAATTAGTGCCTGAGATGTTTTTGACCTCATAACCTAAATTCTTTGGACCAATATCACACTGCCCATAACACAATATTTTGGCTGATGAATTTGCAAGTATTTATCTTGGAAGCTAGGGTTGCCGTACGGCCAATGGATTGATGATGATTGATGGCGGTGCTCAAAGCAGTCATATTTCATCACTAATTATAGTAAATCATGACAAGTAGGGGTGATCCAATTTTATATAACTTTATATAATTCACCTCTGCCAATTTGTTGGCTTATGTTCGCCCATCTAACTGCGGATGTATCCAGCATAAACCCAACAGATTTACGGTCGCTCTTTCCATCAAATAGACTTAGCTAACTGGGGCATCAGTTTGCTGTTGTTTCAGTTGTAGAAATTGCAACAACCTCCCTTTGGGACCCGAAAAAGCAGTGACATCTAAATCGTGTCTTGGTCGGATGTGGCATGTTGCGAAATACATACAATTTGTTTGAGGGTTGCGTCAGTGAAATCCATAATTGCTGTACTTACCCGCAATCCCCATCATCAAGTAAATTTATCCTACAAGGTGGTGCCCCGCAATTATAAGTTTGGTTTATAACCACCATTGAATCTGGATATATCCACCATAAAGCCTTGCTATGGTAGCAACCAACTCAGCTACCCGGGGCACCACCTTGTACTGGGCAGCCCAAGTTTTCGAAGCCGTTGGGAACTTGATGCTGCCAGTGACAGAAGCATTTTTTCATGTGTTTATATATCCCAGTATTTTCATGCATTCTCGTCATGTTTGCTACTCCAGTCACCATTTACCGTTCCGGTTACCGTGGCACCTTGGGGGTCACCACGCAAGGAGAACTGCGAGATCAGCGTTTCGCTGATGGAAGCCTTGCCGTTTCTGCGAAGTTTGGAGCTGCCGACCTATCAGCTGTCGCAGGAGTTCAGGTGCGCCTTGGGCCATGGGATTTCGCATGGCCATGGGATCCAATAGTCATTAGAGGGTTTTTTTTTGGGATTATGAATAGTTTTGCATCAACCATAATAGTGTTTCAAAACTGAATGTCAACATGAATAGTTTAGTTTATTTAGCTCACTAATAATCCTATATGTTTAATCCTATTTAGATAATTCGATACCATTTAAGAAGAGTCATTATTCGGAATAAATATCTAGTCCTTTTTGGTGATTTATAAAGGGAGTTGGTATTCTTTCCATTGATTACAGTATCTAGTTGGATACATCTACCATGAACCCAACAGTGTATGTTAGTTATGTTTTGTTCTATTTCATATTGATATCAGTCCTTGGTGATACCCCCAGGGGCCCCGTGTCTGGGTTAAAAAAATCCCCAGTTTTCTCATTGAAAAACTGACCCTTGCCGCACTGAATTAACTCGGATGAACCAACCCACTGAACCGACAAAGTGGTGAATTGGGCAGTGTTCAAAAGCCGCTGTTGGTTGAAACTAACATAGCTATGGAAAATCACAATTTTTCATGGGAAAATTCACTATAAATGGTGATTTTCCATAGTTATGTTAAATTACCAGAGGGTAATGAAATTGATCGGGGTAAGTGAGATTATCATCATACCAAAGTATTGTTCATATATATATATTTTTTCGGGGGTGATATGATCCACTATGGAAAGGAATCCATAAACCACTATCGCAGATATTCAATAGAGGATCATGGATTTGTTGATGGGAACTGAACAATATAATGAAGATATTGAATGGGGGTATTATTATCCACTATCTGTATATATTGTTCAATATTGAGATTATCATCATCCACTATGGGAATGGAATCCATATCAACCAACCACCACGATATTCCCACAAGGTCGTGCCCCGAAAAAGTATCCGCTATCTTTGTTGGTTTATAGACCCCAATGACTAATTCTATATATCTACTACCAAACAATACTCATATTGGGGTTTAAACCAGCTTGGCTAAGGAACTGCGCCACCTTGTGGTGAATGGTATAGGCTGGGTTGATATGCTGCATATAGTAGCAACCCCTCAACAAATGCAAAAATGTAGAAAAGTAAAATCCTAGATAGGGAAAGATTGTCCTTTTCTACTAAAATTATTTTGGGGCTTACTATGCGTGGTGAAGTTTGATGAGGCTATTTTTAGGAATCTCCCTGTTCTTGTTGGTTATATCTTGGTTGATTTCCTGCACCGGCAGGGCGCTAGTGGATGATGAAACTAATGCCATCATTCTATGTGGGTGCGGATGTTTAAACCTGGAAGTTGGATGAAGTTGGATGCTTTTGGTGAGCACCAACAAAAAAGACGGGTTTAACACTAATAGAGGTTTTATAGGTTGTTCTGCTTGGTTTTCCTGTACATGAAATAGGCAAGTTCTAGATGACACCTGCAGGCTGTCACAGTCTCACTCGGAACAGCGGTAGAGGCCAGTGAGCAAGATGGAAGGTGGCAATCACAGTTGCTTCGAGCTCAGCTCAGAGCCAGGCAGGATCTCACTCTCCACTCGCGAGCAAGGTTGTGGAGTGAGGCAAGAGGGCTGAAGCGCGCAGGCTGGACCTGCAGCTACTGGGGCCAAGCTCGCTACGCATGGGGGTTGTGTGTCGGCTCCCCTGAATTTTGGGGCTGCCACGCCGAACCACCGATGACGACTGGGCTGACACACACGACCTGCCTCAGATCCTGGTGTGGTCACCCCATCTTCCTGCCTGGGAGAGACATCATGCCGCAGGTGCGTAACCTTTTGTCTTATTTCATATATCTACCATAAGCTCTACTATATCAGTTACAACTCAAAACTGAATCATATATCAACTATAGGTTCCCTTCTTTTGGTGAACTCCCATTTTTTGCTGGGTGTTCTGGGCAGGAGCTCGGCGGTGTTTCGGCATTTCTTGCTGGTTCTGCAGGCGATGAGGGGAAGAGTTCCAGGTTATATGGGGATGATTGTAAGCCAAAAAAAGTGTGGATGGAATAGAAATGAATGGAATGCATGCTTCAAGCGGTGGTAGACCCAGGAACTATATCTACCATTTGCGGATGGTTTACACAACGAATGTTTGGTGATTGTGGGGATGGTTCATTGTTGGGTTTACCACCTTTCTTATTGATATGACCATGGTGTTTAGAAGAATACATCTTGAAACATGAAGATCGTGGATAGAAGTATATAATAGAATATAATGGAACTATATATACATTACATTACATTAGATTAGGTTACGTTACGTTACGTTACGTTACGTTTCGTTAACATACTAACATACATACATACATACATACATACATACATACATACATACATACATACATATATTTATTTATATAATATATGTACACGTATAAATTGTGAAAATGGTAAGTAAATGTGGCTAAGGGTAAACAACCATATATAGTGAATTCACTTGAAATTGGAGAAGCGATTGTGATGTCCAGTTTGTGTTTTTGGCATGTGGAGCATCCCGAGTTTCTGCCATTGGGTCTGGAGCATCAGATCTATTTTGGAAGAAATCAGATTGTTTCGGAAATATCCTTCAGTAACCAGTTTCTGGAAACAATACCAAATGGTGAGTACCCAGTTTCATGGCTTTTGGAGCAACATTTCAGTAACCGAACGTTTCTGGAAAACCTACCATTCAGTTCCATGATTTACATGATTTACCGATGGTGAGTTTCCAGTTCGGTCACCAAGAAGCAGGCCTACAAGCCCTCTGGCTTGTCACCAAGAACTGATTCCAACTATGAATTGCCCTACAATGCCCAAGTCAAGAGACGTCTTGACAGGATGATTCCCTCTACAAATTCCAAGATTTCCAACGTTTCCAACGATGATTCAAACGTTTCAAGCGTTCGGAATCATGTGGCTTCGACAATTTGACAACCAGTGTCACCAACCACCAACCACATTGGCCCCGGATGATCGATCGCGAAACCTGTAGCCTCTTCCGGCAAGATCTTGGGGATGGGGACATGGATACCAGGGTATTTTTATGTATTTTTGTAATGACCCATACCCAAAGATATGGTATAAGTTAATCTTATATCTTATATATACATATATATATATATGTATATGTATATATCCAGATACATGCACAGAAGGTATGGAGGTTCATCCATCTGTTTCTCCTCGCAGGAGCTCTCAGTATCTGACAGCACCTGTCACTCGGCGAGGGAGTTGGGTGAGTCGTTGGCTGGGAAAATTCAGCGGCAAATCATGGGTTGAACGGATAGATTTAACGGAAACGATTTTCTCCTCGGTAATTTGTGGAAAATATATCGGAAATATGGTGATTTATGGATGTTTACCCTCTGGTAATGTAACATGGCTATTGAAAATGACCCATAGAAATAGATGGTTTACCTATTAAAAATTGTGATTTTCTATCGGAAATGTTGCTGGGAACCATGTCTTTTGCTGTCAATGTCATGGTGTGTCTGAAAAAATAAAAGGCCACCTTTGACACCCAAAACAAAAAATCGCGAGGTTTCTACGTAGAAACACATCTTCCAACCCCGCCATTTTGATTGAGGAAGCCATCGCAGTCTATAGAGGTAGGAAAAAAATGGGATTTTCACCACAAAAAAAATAGGAAAAAATGCGGGTGAATGGTGGATTTGTTCTGAATTCCATGTTTAATTCGAATCCGCCCGTTCGAATCCGTCGTCCCAGGCGAACAGATCTTCCGCAAGCTGAGCCGCGGCGGCGGCGCCAGCATCCAGAACTGTCGCCAGAACGCGCAGCAGCTCTGCATCGCGCGATTCGAGGCCAACCTGCCGTGGAAGGCGCCAGCTGAGCTGGGGGCGGGTTTCCATGGCTCTAGAGGGAAAACAACACATATTTCTATGAATTACTTGATCAGATTGTGAATATTAGATCATTAATCCATCAATCAATCCATAATTCTGGGTAAATTATAACGACGTCACTGTTCTCCCTCACTGGAATCATGTTTTATTTTAGGGAAATCATCCCCAAATGGCCGCAAGATTCAGGTTTGTGAAATATTATAATTTACCCAGAATTATGTGTTACAATCTCTATATCTCTATATTTCTAGAGAGAACACATATATATATATTACAATGAATTACAAATGGATTTATTTGATTGAAGTGATTGAACTTGGAAATAATTAGACATAACCGTGGAGGCCCTGGACCCATTGCCAGCACTTAAAAAGACGTTCGGAGACAGACATTCGGTCCAGCTGGTTTCATTCGAGATAAGAACCAGTTGACTGTGCGTGGGATGCAGCTAATTCCATCAATAGCAGGATAGTTTAGCAAATTTGATGGTTTTTTTTAGGTCAGCAAGTTGGGTTTCCCCAGCTGTTTGGGTCTGGTTGGCCAGAAGATTGGACATAGCAATAGCAATCATTGGCGGGGTTGGCTTTCCCTATCTTTTCGGCACTATCTTGGAGTAATGGCAGGTACTTCCAACGGCTGGGGCGTTTAACCAAGTGATTGCTAATTGAGGAGGGATGTAACCTTTGAAGTAGCCCATGACCATTTGGATATTTCACTAACAAACATCGGGAGTACAATGTGGGGCCCCACTTTGGAGTTGTAGGCATGTTTTCCTTTTTTTTTGGGGGGGATGGGTTGAAGCTACAAATCAGATTGTAAATGGGGTCAGAAATGGATTCATTGTCATTGGATCTATAGACGTCCACAGGGGGTTGGGCATACTCCAATGATGGGCGCTGCATGGAGCTGCTGCAGATTACAATTGGGGGTAAAAGAAAAGGTTAACTGTGCTTCGTTGCCTTAACTACGGTAAATATGCTCTGTGATGATGTGTGTTGCTCCTAGTTCAAAATGTTGCAAGTCAGTTGTAACTATATAACATGTTCTAACATGTTCTAACATCTTATGAATTGATTATAACATGTTACTACCAGTTCGAAATCAGTTATAATATGTTCCGATGAACATGTTATAGCCCCATTTATGGAATGATACGCCAATAAAAATAATCCTTAAAATCCCCTGGTAAAGGGCTGCAACTGCAATGGGTCCAGACGAGGAGTGGGACGAGATCTTGCAGGCTGCTTTTGAAGGTGACGTTTGGGCCTTTAAAATACAGCGGGAAAAAGGATGAGCTGGAGAAAATGGTGACTTTTCTAACCAATGAACATAAATCTAATCATATATATATATGATATTGTATGTATATATGTATGTATGTATGTATGTATGTATGTATGCATGGATGTATGCATGTATGTATGTATGTATGCATGCATGCATGTATGTATGTATGTATGTATGTATGTAATTGTATGTATATTTATGTGTATATATATATATGTATATATATATGTGTATGTATATATATATATATATGTAGGGATTCAATCAACTCAAATAGGAAAACCATGTGGTTTCACGAACAGAACCGCGGGTTCAGCCAATTAAAACGCGGCCTTGGTAAATTGCCCATATTGCTGAGTATGGTTATCCATCAATAGCGATTTGTGTTTTCAATATATTTGGATCCCCATTATGGCATTACCGGTATGTATGACCGTACACTAATCCAATGCAATCTGACCATGGCACATGTCTGATATTCACTACAATGTGGTGCTCCCACGATAGCTAAGTTGATATACCACTACGTACAACATGGTGGAATACTTTGGTCTATGTTTCATCAACAAAGCTAGTTGGATGAGGTACCATTAAGCAGCAAATGATATATATACATATATATATGTATAATTAGGTGGATTAACAGAACATGTGTTTTTCCGTGGTATAACCAGGCTCACATGAACTTGTGGTATAACCAGACTCGTGTTTGTTGCCGAAGAATCCCATGAGAATTTCATTTCCCAGGGTGTTTTTCAATGATTGTTTAATCACCACTTAGGATATATCATGCTTTGTTGTACTATTTTTATGTTGGTTAATGATGTTTTAATCACCGCAAAAGGCTGATAATATAATTCAGAATAAAATTGGAGTTAACAGTGAGATCAATATATTATCATGATAAATTCAATTGTGAGAACAGTTATTATCATTAACATTATAATTATCAATAATTATTGATCAATAACATTATAATTTTATAGATGTTGGGATAAATATAATGGCTAATTAACATCTCACGCAAATCCCATGATATGCCAATTTTAAATCTCCATTGTATCTTCATAATGCCAAGGGCCATGCAACAGATACCGATTTATTGGAGGTGCCTACCATAGATAAGGCATATCTAGGGTCTAAATTTCAGGGGATATGCCCTCAAAATCTGGCTCTATATGGTGTGGTACCTCCATTTAAGGGTCCTGCAATTTCCATTGATGGCATGAAGAACCATAACCCATTAATCATGGTATATATCCAAACATATTCGCATGATATATTCATTATAGATCCCACTACTGTTGATATACATGTTACAGTGTGCTAGCAACAAGTAAACAGGCCAGCCGCTGTGCTTCCTTGATAGCATCCTAAAATGTTTTTTCCCCTGGATGCCTGACAGTTTTCTGTCGCGACCCAGTCTACACCTGAGATTTTGATCCTGTCATCGGCATAGTTTCGTATACATCCTTCGTGGGTATCTTGTAATGTAATGTCGCCTCAAGTGCACACCCAGTGACCTCTGGAACTACCCTCTGGTAATTTAACATAGCTATTGAACATGACCCAGTCAAAATAGTGGATTTTCCCAGCTATAAAATGGTGGATCTTTCCAGTTCGCTACGTTAAATTACCAGAGGGTGCAATCACAAGAAGAACTCTCTGAGTGGATCGATCGTCTCAGAACTGGTCCATGGGAATGTCAGATGTACTACTTGGTGGCTCATCCCACGAATCGTAAGTGGGTTATAACCACAGTGATTGATGTGGATTAACCCTACTTATCCCGTTTATAACTGTGGTTATAACCCACTTACTAACTGGGATGAGCCACCACGTAGTCAAAAATGCTCGATTTAAGTAGCAAACATGGGAAAAAACGTGGGAAATGAAGCATCAAAATTAATTTAAATATCCCTCTTGGAATCTCCATTAGAACCCATACACTTGGTTAAATCATTATTTACAACAAAGATTTTACATATAGGGATTATAAGGGGTACAGTGGGACATAAAGATGCTCCAATGATATTTCCATTGCATTTCAATGTCATTCCAAACAGTGCCATTTCATTCCGAACAATTATTGTTTCATGTCAAAAAAATTGTTACTAGTGTTGTCTTAGGGTTATGTCAAAGGATTTTTTTCAAACTCGGTTGTCTTTTTAGTTTTTGTTTTTGACGTGTTTTGTTTTTTTGTGTTTTTGTTTGCATTGTTTGTTCTAGTTTTCTTTATTTTTTGTGTTTTTTTGTATTGTCTGTTCTATTTTTTTGTTTTTTTTTGTTCTTTTTGAATGTTTGATGTTATTGATGTTTTAGTTGTTTATTTTTTGTTTGATGTTTTAAGATTGTGTTGTTTCTTTTTGGTCGGTTGTTATGTTTTCTCATTTTTTCTTTGTTGTTTTTTGTGAGTTTTTTTTTAATTTGTTTTGGAATGTGTGGATTGTGTTTTTTTTTTCGGTTGTTTTTTTAAATAATTATTTGTTTTTATTTTTGTTTTTTTTTCTGAAAGGATAGCAACTTTTAGGAGTAGCCCTGTCAGGAGTAATCCAGGGCTCTTTAATGAAATTATAATATATTATTATGGTTATGTTTAACTTCCATGCGTGAGGTATCTTAAGGCTAAATCTACCCATGTTTCGAAGAAATTCTCATGAAATCCCATGGACAATCTCTCATTTTCCTTTTGATAAGGAATATTCATGGACACTCATAGATCATAGATTGTTATATTTCATGATATTCCCACAGGATGGGGCCCCACAGCTATTTTTGTTGGTTTATAAACCCATATATATATATATAATCTTCATGAAAACTAGTTCGTGAAATATCTACCCTAAACCATGGTTTTTTCAGCCACTTTTCTATATAAACCAACGCTTCACGCTATCGCTCCCAACGGGGGCCCCGGGCCCCATTTCTTCGGATCGCAGGTGTCGGTGACCACGCTGACCACGGTGACCGCGTGTCGTACGCCCAATGGGCCATCGGCTGCCGCCGCTGCGTGCGGATCGTGCGGCTGATCATCACTCTGCGATTGGTCAGCTGAGAAAGCGAAAGCTGGTTGAAAAAAATGTTTGGATCGGGAGGACCCATGGGATTTTTTTCCAGAAAATTGTTTTACTAGGATTTAACAGCTTAAATTTCAGGAATTTGCTCAGCAATGATGTCGTCAATGGATTGGTTTTGGCAAAATCTTCGCCGGAAACCAGAAATAGTCCTTACTGAAACCAGTCCATTGATGGGATCATCCCAGTTTCAATATCGATTCGGGGGCGGCACATAGAAAAAACACATATAGCCTCAGGTACCTGTATATCAAAATTGGTGAAAGTACTACATGTTGAAAAAAAAATAGTGGGTTAAAACAACATGATTTAAGGGTTAATTGCTTTATAGCCCCCATGCATAGCTATGGCTATAAGCATCATAAACCATAGGCTTCACATGGCAAGACATCCTGGATTTTTTGTCGAGAAACTAAGTATAGTACATATCCCACTTAGCCTCCGGTAATGTGTTATAGTTTGCTATTGAACATTTCCACATTTTAGTTCGTTGATTTACATATTAAAAATGGTGATTTTACACAGCCATGTTAGTTTACTCTAGAGGCTACATAGCTATGGGTCAAGATTAAAGACTTGGGAGTCCACGGATTCTTGTCTATGTTTAATATTAACCATGCAATTCTTTGGAGGACCCCACTTTATGCAAGATGATTCAAGGGTTACTGTAAACATCATCGCCCACATGATGAATCTTTCATATTCACTCCTACATGTTCACTTAGACATCCCTTGAAACCACCATCGCTGCGGAATCGCGGATTGAAATCTTGAGCAATGAGCTTGGGTCGTCAACCGTCACACCGAACAGCTGTGTGAGTCCTATCCAGTGAACACGTGAGCATCTGCCCTGGTGATGATGATACCAAGAGGGGTCTGGTATACATGAATACTGCTCCGGTGAGATACTATGTTATACTGTCCGGGTTTGTCTAAGGTCATTTTGGGATTTTCCCAACGGAAAATCCAGCATGACTAGGGGAATCTATAGTTTTTTTTAAAAAAATATGATCCCTCAAGCAAATCAAAGAGGACTGTGAATCCACTTCCAATTTTCCAGGCCCACAATCTTGAAGTTCCCAGACCAACACAGCTCCAAGGTGGCAAAAAATCCTGCCGGGTTTGACCGGTGGCTTCCTGTTACATAGACATGTTGCGGCAGTCGCATGACGCGAAGGAGGCAGGTGAGCCATCAAAAATATAGGTTTTCCTATTTGTTTCCCATTTCATTGTACTAGTTGGATGATAGGTTTGCCATTCATATGGCTTGGTTCATACTCTCCACGAGGTAGTATGACTCCGTAAAATTCATCACCAATCAACAGTTGGGTATGCCTGCAATGGCTCAGGTATGTGGTAGACCGGCACCATGATCCAGACAGTGATCAATTGCGAAATTGGGGGATAGTCAAATCATGTCAAATCGCCAAGTTGGTTAACTCCAACTGTTGGGTTTATGCTTTGTGCTTTGCTATGGTTTGTAAACCAAATATACCATGGGTTACCATCTATCTATACTTCTTTTGGATAGCAACATCACCATGACCCGGGAGGCTTCACTTCACCTGGTTATTTCACAGTTCTATGGAAAATGGCCAATTTATAGACGGTGTATGATGATTTACTTGTCACTTATGGATACTTATGGTCATTTCCCATTGCTTCTATCTTCGGTTCTGATAAGTTTGGTTGTGTCAATTGGTTGCATCCCAGTCTGTGTTGTTCCGAGAAACCGGCCTCGCTTGCGACTGCTGGCTGTGTGTTTCTAACGATTGCATCCGAAGGCTTGAGTCTGGTTGGAGGTTTGGATCATTTTTTATTTTTCCATATATTGGGAATGTCATAGTCCCAACTGACTTTCATATTTTTCAGAGGGGTAGGTTGAAACCACCAAGCAGTTATTCTGTCACATTGAGTCTCCCTACTTTAAAACCTTAAAACATCCATGTAGACTGGTTATGAAAAAGGGTTTATGAACCTAACTGGTTGATTGGTGATTATGATAGTCCACAATAGGGATATATGCTCACCCAGCCCATGATCTACCCCAATGATCCCCAATGATGGTTTTATTTGATCTTTGCCCATGGCCCACCTTTGACCACTATGCTAGACTCCATGAATGGTGCTCTCTGCCCATAAAAAGGTTGATGTCGCTTTGGAGATGCAGAAATAAACATTGGCAAGGTGGGAAGAAACAAGTGTTCAACGTATTTGATTTGCAAAAAACATGTTGTTACAAGAAAGTGCTGCTTACAGGTTACAATCTGCCTTGAAGACAAGATATTCCCTCAAAAAATAATCACTATTCTTGCAAGAAAACTATCATGTGTGGAAGGATGCAATACATGCTTTCATGAAGCTCAGCCTCCCTCTCACTTCTCTTCTGTGACCATGGTTGTAGGCCCAAGTTGTTCGAGCTTCAGGTTCCAAACTCAAGCCCCCCCAACGAGTCTCAATAAAATATTTTTTTTTTTGGTATGGTTGTAGGCATTAATTATTGGCTGCATGAAAGGGTGAAGCAGATGATAGGGTGAAGCCAACCAGGGGTTGAAGTGGTCAGACAAAAGTTTTGAATCAGTCCTTGCCATTGAGCAATTCTGCATTAGATATTACAATTACAACCCAAATGTATTGAAACACCCATATGCAGAAACTTCCCCCCATGAGCGATCCTTCTGCAAGTTATTGTTTTTCCGGTTATGCTTTATATGCAAAAATCATGGTAATTCCCATATAAAGTGCTTCTAGGTAGATCATGGGGTGTGACCGGATATATATATATATATATATTATTATATAAATATACACAAACAAATCAACCAGTATAATGGGATGAGATGGGTATTTGTCCTAGCTCATCTAAACACTTGTTCTGTTGATTTCCGATGTTTCTCTGCACAACGACCCCATCCAGGGGTGCATCACTAGAGGTTAGTGTCCAATTCCGTCGGCATTGCTCCTTTCAAAGTAGGAGAAGTTACTTCTCATTTGGGTGTCCGAACTGTACACTTCCCTTGGTGCAGCAACAAAACACTAGACTATTGGAACCTATAGGAAGCTTTTGTATGTGTTGAGAATTCCGGACTGGTTGGTTCTTTGTTTGGGAATAGCACGCTTGTTGAACATCAACTTGCCCGCACTCCGGGTGTCTTTGTGGAAAGCCAAACCTTTGGAGCAGCGCTCATGTTTTTTGTAGGTCAAAAATCCTGGCATCAACGTGTGCCATCCTGCGAAGCAGATGGTTTCGGCTTCCTGCGGAAAGTTTGGACAACAGCTACTAAGTTATCTAAGTTACTCTCCTGTAAACAGTAATTTAATATAGATGTGGAAATCACATGAAAACCCACTATTTATGGATCATGTTCTTCATCTTTCTAGGGAAACTCTGAGTAAGTTTACCCAAGGTTTTTAATGGTTTATCAATCATCTTCCGATGTGATTTCCCCTGGGTTTATCCACATCGATGGTGAAACGTTTGCCCCATGGTATCCTTTCAACCCAACGTGACCTGGATGTGAGGTTTCCTAAGTTGTAGGGGTACCCCGATTTATCATCCATTTTAGATTGGAATTGTCCACTATTTTTTTCATCCAGCTATTGGGGAGCTCTATGACTATGGAAACCCCAATATATAGATCATATATATATATAGATCATATATGTATTTTTTTTGGAGGCTTCCTGGATCGCACATCCAAGATGACAGTTGGGTTTCTCGCAAGATATTGCCATATGAAATGATTGGAAAATGACGATAGACCACTGCATTTTGGGGTAAGATTTTGAACAAACCCCATATGTTTTTGACTTTCCAGTCAGACATTTAACCATGTTGGATTTGCAGCGAACATGCTGGACAGTCGGGGATGAGAAGTGGTTACTGCCTTACAATGGTTGGGATTACCATGTGGTTATTTCACAGAGCTATTGAAAAATGTCAGTTTACAGACGATTTCAATCGATCTAACTGTTGTTTCAATGGTGATTTTCCATCGCAAACTTCGCAAAAGTTCCAGAGGGCAGATGTAGTCGCTGGCACAGTCCTACCATTACCCAAGGGTAAATGGGGATGGGTCAAAACCAATAGTACCCCTTTTTTGTTCACATCAAAATAGCTGGGTTAAAATGGATGTGAATAACCCACTATAGTAATGTATCTATAGGTATTGATCCATACCTAAATGTCCCAAACTGTTTGCTGGTCACTTTCACCATTTTGAATAGACATGTTGGTGAGTGATAGCCACAGTTTGCTGGCGAAATTCCGTCTAGTCGATGATTGCAACCCATTTACATAAGAACCCAATTTGTTCTTGTGGATTCCTGATGTGTGATAGTTAGAATCCCCAATATGCCCTTTGTACCAACTAGAAAAAAGGAAACCCCTCTTCAAATACCAAGAGGTTCCAGTCAGGCTGCAACAGATCGGCTTTCCGTTTGACTGAAGCGCGATGTTGGTGCGGAAAAAGATACGGGGGAAACATTGCTTGAGTCGGAAAATCATGTGATGATGCAGTTTGTCGGTGAATTGTTGTTTATTTGTTTGTTGTTGAATGTTATTTATATACATTTATTTAATCTTCAAGTACTGCAGCTAAGATTATGGTATCCGTGTGTTTGTCGGTTTTGTGCCGATTTGTGTTGGTCGGTCGCACAAATCTACATGTGATGCTTGATTCTTGCTGGATGGTTGATGGGAACAAACGCTTGTTTGCTTGCTTGTTTGTCCAAGTTGATGTGAATGCGAAATCAAATGCCTCCATATATACAATCATATACCAGAGTATATTTTCTTGAGCCAAATTTGGGATAATGAAATACTTAGACATACTTATAAGGGTTTAACAATGTGGTGGGTCCAGACATGTCTCCCATTTCGGATATGACGAATGGTTGATTATTGGTTGTATACTGTGGATAGATAAGATGATCTTGATATTCACATCATTCCTGCTTCAAATCCATGATCTTAGATATATTTAGATCCTTTATTCAACCATAGTGAGTGATATATTTCATGATTAACCCATATAAACCCATATAAACCCATTTTTGATGGCTGGCTTCCGTCAAAACCCACGGCAAAACCGGCTGCGACCTTCGATCCGTCACAGTTGTCTGCAGCTCCGCAAGTCTTTTCGCTTGGAGGATCAGCGCTTATACGGTTTCACCATAGTGATACCCCAGGTACCCGGCCTGGTAAACATACAAAAAACTATGGAAAATCACCATTGTTAATGGGAAAACTCACTATTTCTATGGCCATGTTCAATAGCTTTTTGTATGTTTGCCAGAGGGTATAAATGGGATAAGTACTGCTCAATGGATTGATTAAAGGGAAAATCTTAGCCGGAAACCATGGTTTTACCCATCAATTAGACGGGGTTCCTGTAGAAATTCCCTTACACCAATCCAAAAATCTATATAAGTAGATAGTAGTTTCCATAAACCCCATGATCTAGTTCAATATATTTGCCATTAAACCAACACTGAAAACAGTAGTTACATATTCACCACCTTAGTTGACATGTTTTGAACTATAAATGTCCCCCAGTTCTTTAGTGAAATCCTGGTTGCTGGATGTTCATCCATTTTTGCTGGTCAAAACACAATTTTTTGCTAGTAAAATCATTATTTTTGCTAGTAAATTCACCATGTTTGCTAGTAAAATCACCATTTTTGACGTGAAACTCATCCCGTTTTTTTTGTGCAAAAAATCCCCATCTTCCCCAGGGCCAAAAAAAAAACGCTAGGCCGGTGGTGGTTCCAAGCGACTCATGACCGTTCCGACACATAGATTCGCTGCGGATGAAGAAACATCAATGGGATGATGGTGAACGGAAATCATATGGGGACATATATGGAAACTATAGTGATTTAATGGTATTTGAATGGGATTTATAGTGATTGTTCATGGGATTTTATAGTGATTCAATGGGATATTTTCATGGGATTTACCGTATTGATCCATAGGTGTTTAATAAGAAATTCTATCTACAGGTCCCATAGCCTCTGGTAAACTAAGAGTTTGCGAACTGGAAAATTGCCATGCTTTTTGTTCATTGATTTACCCAGCTATACACATGGGTGGATGTTCTTTTTGTTCGTTTTTTGCATGTATGTTTACCAGAGGGTATATATGATGATGATTTATAAGAAGCAATCTTCAACAGTAGGTCCATATGGTTATTCTGGTAATGATATATGTTTGTAATACGGGAAACATCACTTTCAGGATTGGATTTACAAAAAAAACATCCATGGCAAAAATGGATAAATCATTGATCAATTGGGATTGGTAAATGATTTTATCCATGATCAGTGCCCCTATAAATTGGGATTTCAAGGAGATAAGTAATGTGTTGATAATGGGAGATTAGTGATGAGATGATCATTGGGTAATAACGACTACCCTCTGGTAAATGAACATAAAGGAACATACTTGGTGGCTCATCCCACTTAGTAAGTGGGTTATAACCACAGTTATAAGTGGATTAACCCTACTTATCCCATTTATAACCGGGGTTATAACCCACTTACTAACTGGGATGAGCCACCAAGTAGACCTTGAAATTCAGCACTTTTTACTGGAAACCAATCTTCCAACCCCCATCTGGCAGGGTCTATGTTTTAATTTGCTGGAGTGTAATTGAACCATGCGTGGTTATAGCTATAAGAATCCAAAGTAATTTATCAGTGATTTATCAGTTAAACTATCGCTCGTATGTAATATGGTGATAAAAAAAAAAACTGATTTATAACAAGCAATTTTCAACCGTATGGAATCTGGTTATTATCATTCATATATAATTATACTTGGTGGCTCATCCCACTTAGTAAGTGGGTTATAACACACAGTTATAAGTGGATTAACCCTACTTATCCCATTTATAACTGTGGTTATAACCCACTTACTAACTGGGATGAGCCATCAAGTATGGCTGATATATTTTGATAGATTATTTTGATTAAACCCTGGACCCTGCGACCTCACATGTTGGGATTCGGTAACGGGGGTAACCCAAAAATGTCCGAACTTTTCAGAATGGTGACATGACTTTAGATTTAGGAAACTTGACCTCATGACTTTAGGAAATTACCTCGGATGGAATCTAACAGAATCAAAGTATTTGATTCCGCGAAAATTCCTGCGGATCAATATTTGAGTAGATCATTTGATCTAATTTCAGATTGGTGAATGACTTTGATCCACCCCCAGAGGGGATCCATTCAAGTTGTACGCAACATGCCAATCAAGCCTCCTGCAGTTGATCAAGTCTCAACACAGACCATCAAGTGTTTGCTCTACCGCGATCAGGTTGTGGATCAGTGGGATTCAGTCAGCTCAGCCCCAGTGAAGTTCATCATAGGTCTCGTCGAAAGCCTCCAAATTTGCAAGCAAGTTGATTGCGCATGTCCCAAATGGCATTCTGCAGTACAGAAAGCTGACACGCCTATCTTGGACGTTTGGCAACGTGACTTCCTGTCAATCCATTTTCAGGAGATCCGTCCGGCTGATGCACAGATTTATGCAGTTGCTATGAGGGTCACTGCAGAAGTCTATGCAGACTTATTCAAAGTTTCAGGAACAGGTGGACTGTACATTGAACCCAGATCAGATGATGGCAAACAATTGGCTTGGAAAATTGTAAAAGAAATAAGCTATAAACATCTATAAACTATATAAACTATAATTAGATGGAGATGTTCCATTGCCATGTTTGATGACAGGGTAATTTTTGAAAAACATCCCCATGTCCTATGCCCAAAAAGGCCTGTGTCATCCCATATTTCTTCAGAATTCCAAAAAAAACGGTTGAAAACACCATGGCCATGAATTGGGGGGGTAAATCCCTATGTTCAGTTGCCCACCCAAATATCTTATTAAGTTGCTTTGTTGTTAGTAAGTCAGTAACATTCTCCATTTGTAGTTCTATGCCAATATCCACGTTAAATATCCAGTAAGAATAGCCAAGATCCAATGGTGTTCCTTCTGATTTTTACGTGATCTTCACAGTTTCCCACTGTTTCTCCCATGATTTACCACTAATTTGTGCATCCGCATGGCATCCACCTTCCATGTCCCGAGGTCGAAAGCTTCACGAAAGCATTGGTGGACGCAACTCGAGCGATGTATGGCGGTCAATGTGTGTGTGTGAGTCACAAGCCCTTAAACAAAAAGAAAAAAACATAGGACTGGTTGGTGTTTGGAACATGAATTTTATGACTTTCCATATATTGGGAATGTCATGATCCCAACTGACTTTCATATTTTTCAGAGGGGTTGAAACCAGCAACCAGAGGACATGATGGGACGTGTTTGTAAATGTTGAAAATTGTGGGGGAAATGATCTGGGTGATGTATAGATTTGTTGGACACAACCACATCCAGCGACGTTTGTTGTGAGGTGAATCGGGAGTGGTGGTGGAAGATTTTGTAAAAAATGTTTACCCTTTGGTAATCAACCATCACAATTGAACATGTTGATTGTTTTCTTGTTTGGATGGGAACATCATCTATTAATGGGTGGTGTTCCATTGCCATGTTTGATCACAAGAGGGTACCCTTCAATAAATGTTCACATAGTTATGGAATGTTGTGGAAAATATTGTGTTCAAAGGAAGATGATTTGCATTCATGGGTTTGCCGTTTTGATGGGCATAATTTTCATACCCAGCCAAACATATATTGTTCTTTTTTGCATACATGCAAGATTTGCAATGCCATGGTGGGTCAATCACATTGTGACATGCGATTTGAGCTCTCTCAACTTTTTTTAAAGCACAACAACGCAATCGAGTGAGGTGTAAGTACTCTCCAGTAAACTAACATAGACATGAGATGAAAAATCCACCATGATTCTGTAAGGGCCACCAAGCAACAAGACCTGGAGCTTTGAGCGATCAGTGGGTCCAAAGCCTGTGACTACTCCTCGGATCCAACCGAAAAATCATGTGCTGGTCATCTCCTTTTCTCACGTCCGGCAATCATTTGCACAGAAAGGTCCATTTCTTGCATCACTTTGAAAAACATCATTTCTGTAGTGTGTCCGCAGTGATACATACAGACAATTACAAATATATTGGTTTCTAAGAACTGTGTTCCCAGTTCGTGGCTCCGATTGGCAACCAGCTCAGGTGTCTTGAACCAGTTCAGGCATTCAAAAGCCATACGTTAATTCCCTGGTTGGTGGTTTCAAACATGAATGGATGATTTTCCATTTCATATATTGGATGTCATCCTTCCCATCGACGAACTCCATCATTTTTCAGAGGGATTGGTATACCACCAACCAGGTTATTATCAACCATATAATATTAACCATCATTAACCATCATTAACCAACCAGGTTAATTCCTCATTGTCTTTTGGACATAAGGGAGCCATGTTCTCAGGATCGGCAAAACCAGCTGCTGTTGGTTCGTTGTGCCAAGGTTTCCCAGGGCCACTGGAGACCATGGCATTTTGTCCTCCAAAAAAATGTGACAAGTCGCCAAAGTCACTTGGGTATGGGTCAATACCTATGAAAATACCATTTTTAGTGGGATGAACATCCATAAATCCCAGCTATTTTGGTGTTCACCAGGTACCAGGGTTTTGACCCATCCCCACTTGTTTGTGTGCACCAGAGCAACAAAAAAAATGAAGACACCAAAAAGCTTTGAAAACACCAAATACCATGAAAGTGGCTTAGTGTTGATTTTTTGAGACATGAAATGAGACGTGTACCCCATAGCCTGGTAGAAGCCACGAACCCGCATGTGTTTTTAAAATGGTGCGGAGAAAGATATACAGACAACACAACCACATCCTATCGCCAAATGCGTCCTGAGTCCTGACACTCTTATATCCCCAACAAACGATGTCAGAAAACTGCACATGCATTTCACTGTTGTTCTTGGTTATTTCTCTTGCAACTCCCACAACCTATTGTACCTATTGTAGGCATCTGAATGCAATGCCGTGTTACATGAAAAACAGTCGTGACTCTCTAAGCTAAAATTTCAATTGCCGCGCGACACACGGTCCCCTCACCCTGCCCCTATGAACTGCAAGGTTGAGACTTCACACTACACACAACAAAGTCTCCACTTCATACTCCGCACCTCACACTGACCCTTCAAACTCTCAACTCCACACTTCACACTTCATAAAGAACACTTCACACTTCACACTTCACACTACTTGTACACTGCACACCTGACACTGCACGCCTGACACTGCACACTTCTTGTTTCACATTGCACACTGCACACTTCACATTTCACACTCCACACTTCACACTCCACACCTTCACACTTCACACGTCACACTCCAACTTCACACTTCACACTCTCCACTGCGCACTCCGCACATTACACCTCTGACACTGCACACGTCACACTTCACACTCCAAACCGCACACTTCACACTTCACACTCCACACTTCACACCTCACACTCTCCACACTCCGCACTTTACACTGCACACTGCACACTCTCCACTTCACACACAATGCACTTTCACACGTCACAACACATCACCTTTATCACTTTCCCCATAGACAGCGCGACGACGCCATTAGAGTGTTGCGGAGCGACTTTCGCTTGAGTGCCACAAAGTCCCACGCCTGCCTCGCGAAATGCACTTTCCCACGTCACAACACATTAGCTTCTCTCACTTTCCCCAAAGACAGCACGACGACGCCAGTAGAGTCATGAGTCATTAGAGAGTCGCGAAGCGACTTTCGCTTGAGTGCCACAAAGTCCCACGCCTGCCACGCGAAATGCACTTTCACACGTCACAACACATCACCTTTTCTCACTTTCACCATAGACAGCGCGAGGACGCCATTAGAGAACTTCGATACGAAAATGACCCGCAACCCCCAGACCCCCTACCAAGAAAACAAGAACCCTTCAAAAAATCACCCGACACGTTCTAAGTGGCTCACAAATCTGATTATAGGATGTATATACATACAGAACATATGTAAACCTTGACCCTCACGGCAACCATAAAAAGAGATCAATTTACCAAAGTAGTGGGGTATAGTGAGGGCCTAGGTATGCCTTTATCTAAACAGTTTGTGGGTTATCTCCGTGTTGCATTTGGGCAAAGTATAATGACTCGATGGTTAACAACATGAAGTTGTATTTGTATTTGTCGTAGATCATTCATTATTTAATGGAGGGCTATTTTTTGTTTTTTGATTTTTTGGGAGATGTTTTGTTTGTTTTCCAGCCTGGCTTTGTGGCTTATGTGGCTTCTGTGGCTTTTGTGGGTGTGTGGCTTTTGTGGCTTTAGGAAGTTTTACCTACCTATCTATCTATCTATCTAATCTAACCTAACCTAATCTAATCTAACCTAAATCTAACCAAATCTTATCTTATCTAATCTTATCTAAACTTATCTATCTAATCTATCTAAACTACAGTATCTATCTAATCTATCCGATCCATCGATCTAATCAATCTAATCTAATCTAATTTAAACTAAACGAATCTAATCTAAGCTAATCTATCTATCTATCTACCTTTATATACACACCTTGTATCCCTACATGTACCTTAATCCAACCCTCAGCAGACTTTAAATATACCCTAAACCAACCCTAAATAAACCCTGAATACACCAACATCCAATGCCACTATTTAGACCCAACGGGGTTGTGCTTCAACCTATATTCTACATGTTCACCAGGTGCATGTTATGCAAGGAAAATCGATTGACACCATGGAAAATTTCATTGTCACCATGGAAAACTCAATGAACGCCATGGAAAAATCGATGAACACTTTGGGTAAATCAATGAACACCATGGAAAAATCGAGTAAAACCATGGAAAAATCGATGAACAGTGCAAATGGCAAGTTTTAGTTTCAAAATTCAGCAAAGTACTAGTTTTTGCTTCAAAATGTGAAAAATAGCAAGGAAATGTGCCCCAGACTGAAAAAAAAAAAGATCCGATCCCCAAAAAAATATGCACCCTTTATTAATTTTCAAACATTGCCAGACATTTCAAGAAAAGATGAGTTCACGCTACGTTTTCGAATCCTAGGAATCCTAGGCTTTCGGAAAGAGAATACCATAGGATACCCCTCAGATCCCCTCAGTTTATTGGTTTCTACTTACTTCCGGGTCATTAAATGTCCCCATTGAACATCACCCAACCATTAGGTATATGGTCTACTAGATGGCTACTTTTTCAGGTGATGCCCAATATACCCAAAATGGGACAGTTACCAACCCCTGCTTCCCCCATGTAATTTTCGGATTTTTGTTGCTGCTCGATCCGCCTGAGGTGGCCATGCAAGTCATGGGGCCAGAAGATGTTCTGCCGGCGCGTTTTTTGGGTTTCCATGGGGGTACCAATAGCTGGATGCTGAATGGAAAATCCGACAATCAAATGGTTGATATGGGGGTACCCCTCCCATTTTAGGGAAACCCCCATGAAGTTCGCTGGAACTGAAAAAATATCTTCGAAGTTCCCGAAAAACTGCATGTCTGGCTGAGATTGGTTCTTGCTTGAGCAAAGCTTCATTCTTGGAGACCAAACACAGGGAAAACCATCAAGTTGATTGGCATGTAAATCCGGTTTTGGAATTATTCTATCCGGTCATGTTCAAACAGATTGGAGAAAAAGAGGCAGATTCCTGTCAGTATGGTGCCTCCCTGGGGGAAGAAAAAGCATTTCAGGTACTTTGTGGGTTCCCACCGATGGGGTGAATGGCGTGGCACGGCCATGCAGCCTGAACCTCAAGTAACAGACCATCCATGTTTTTCTGTGTATACCTACCTGGATGATTTATGCATGTGTACAGTGTACAATATCTCTTTCATCCTGGTCGGTTTATGGCTTGGGTCCATGGATGAAAATGGATTCGCTCTGCTCAGATGGGCCATGGAGTTAGCTAGCTGTTGATCGCGACCGGGTCATATTCCCAAACAAAACTAGGTATCTGACAATTCAACAGTTGGCTAGCAAAATCATCTTATTTATGAGCAAAATCATCGAACCAAACTGGACCATTTTCCATAGCAAACCATTAAAGTACCATTGTAATTGTCCCTATGACAATCCCCTATTCTGGGAAGAACATCCATGGCTTTACAGTTAGTATTACAGTATATCCCGTTATATCCCCGTAAAATTTCCAAACCCATTGCCCCTTTTTAAAACACCCAAATGGAGGCAACGTAGAAAGCCAGGTGTCAAATGGCTTGGAAGACTTCTGCAAGCGGGTGCGCGGGCCAGCCGAAAAATCTGGAGTCCGGTGTGTGAAAACACACCTAGATTGAGGTGTATAGCTGCTGGTTGGTGGTTTGGAACATTCGGATTATTTTTCCATTCAATTGGGAATGTCACGATCATTCATGATCCCAACTGACGAAGTCCATCATTTTTCAGAGGGGTAGGGCTCAACCACCAACCAGTATAAGTTGGTTTATAATCCCATTAACTATAGATATATCTACCATAAGTCCTTGTTATTGGAGTTATAAACCAACTTAACCATCATTAACCATCATTAACCATCATTAACCATCATTAACCATATATTAACCATATATTAACAGTATATATTTACCACCAACCAGGCTGGGAAAGACCGGTCGGATTGCCATGTTTGATTAGGCGGGTGGATGGTGTGACTTTCTTCGTCCCATGGATGGATGAAGTAATTCTCGCCCGTGCCGCGTGAAGAAACGACCGTGCTACGGTGCTGTTTTTATCATGATGATATTGTTTATAACCCAGTGGTATAACCATAGGTGGTTTATAACCCCATGAAACCTATAGACATATAACCTATGTAAACTATACCCAGTGGTTTATAACCCCATCAACTATGGTTTATAGGTGATATATCTATAGTATTCTATAGTTATAGGATGTTATAGGTGATATATCTATAGGTCATATTTCTAGAAAATATGGTGATTTATGGGAAAATGGTTGGGAAACAAAAATGGTGATTTATGGATGTTTACCCGGCCTGGTAAACGTTTACAGTTTGCTATTGAGAATGGCCCAGTCGTAATAGTGGATTTACCCAGCTATAAAATGGTGGATATTTCCATAGTGTTTTGATGTTTTTACCAGAGGGTATAGGACAGTCAGACAGCACATCTTCGTTTTTCCTTCTTGGTTTGACATATGTCTTATGTTATGTTCCATCCTGCCTGGGATAATGATCTCCATGACCACACCTTGAATTTTCAGCGGGTTTCCAACTATTTCCAACCCATTCCATTCGATGTTTAAGTATCACCATATGTCACCAGTAAAAGTTAGTCCCCAACTTGGCAGTAGGAACCAACCAGAATATCAATGGACATTTTTTCTGGGATAAGGGGAGTCATGATACATCACTATATAACCCTGTAGATCCATGCATATTCTGTGTTAGGAATTAGCAGTGGGATACATTATATTATATGCATGCGTACGTATATACTGTGTATAATGCAATGGTTGTTCAATCCGATATTATGTAGCTTCTTATAAGCTTATATTCACTGCACATTCATTGCATAATATTTTGCAATTATAATATAGGTATATTGTAACCAGCTATTGCCTATGGGCTGTAGCATTGCTACTAACATCATTACTCTTATCTAACAGCATCACATTCTAACATCACTATATATTATTTAACATTATAGCTCATTATTAGTGATGTTAGATAAGAATAGGTATCGGTATAATTATCTAGCCAGTTATAGGTATATTATGGGTATAATTATCTACTGTAGCCAGTTTTATTACCCGCATGAAACAGTTCTTAATCTTGGGATGCGCCTCCCATTTCCTCCCGTTGCACTGCACTACGCTCCAAGGTCCTGCGTCCTCTGAACGAGGTCTTGTTGCGATCTCGCAGCGAGGACGTGACCGGATTTTTCAAAAAAAAAACTTCAAAGCTGCGGATGATCAGATGGGATAGTCATGGGAAATCATGTGCATAATGGGGTTTAACAAGGGTGTAACAAGAATTTAATAGGATTAATGGGACTGGCTGTGGTTTAATAATGAGATCTAATGGTAACTTAACCAACAAAAAACATACAAAAACAAGGATTGAAAGGGATTTATAGGGTTATGCTAAGTTCATGAGCATAGAAATAGCCTCTGGTAATCTAACAGGCCATGGAAGCCATGGCCCATGGCCATAATCATTTATGGGTGATTTGCCGTTTTTTAAACATGGTTGTTTTCCATAGCAAAGCGTGAAATTACCAGAGAGTAATATCAAACAATGTTTCAGATGCATGAGTGTTTCCTGTTCGGGTTTATGAACTACAGGATGGGGCCCCCAGTCGATAGCCTTCAGTTGGTTTATAAGTGGCTTAACAATGGTTTATGGTAGATATAACTATAGTTGATGGGGATTATTTCAGGGTTTATAAACCGACAAACATAACTGTGGGGCCCCATCCTGTCATCCTGTACATTCATGGTGCATTTTTCCGTACGTTTACTGGAGGGTAACCATCCCGGTAAATATCTCCCTTCAGTTGGCTCGCGTTTTGACGTGAACTGCATGCTGCTGCTCAAAATGTCCGTGTTTTTGCCGTAATGGTTTACCCATTCTAAACCCAGAAATTCTCATTATAAAGCCGTTTTAATTAGCCTAGATCTACGTCCTTTTATTTGTACACATTACCGTATGTATTGAATACATACAATAACGGGGTTGGAGTTTCCTCTAGGATTTCAGGGAGGTCAACCCCCCTAAGAAGGACTGATTTTCTGGCGCGAAAATTGTTCGATTTTGATGAAAGGCTGCTTTTATCAACCCCCTCATTTTCTACAGAACAACTTTTGGAGACCTCTGAGTCGGGAGACCCTGATTTTCTGGGTAGCTTAAATGCCCAAAATCCAGGAGCATAATTTTAGCATCTCTGGGAGGACGTTCCTAGATTTTCTAGTGGTCCCTGATTTTCTAGAGGGGCACTGGTAGGTCATTTTGTTTTGTTTAAACGTGCTTAAAATCTAGTCCCATCTCTCTCCTGTCCAAATTTGCAACACTTGCCGCATTTCGCAATTGGAAAACAGCCAATCCGAAGCGCTTTTGCTGGAGCTTTGAGTACCGGTGCGTCGCTGCGAGTCTGGTAGATCAGAGAAATTGACAACACATGAAAATAGATTGGGATTAAACATGAAATATGATTAATATACAGAAAACTTGTGAACATAGTCATTTCGAATATGGATTTTCGAATATGGACCTGGATGCAGGCGCCTAGAAAATGTTGGAGGCACTATGGAAAATTGTGGCCTCTAGAAAATCAAGCACTGGATTTCAAACAGCGCGCGTCACTTCTAGAAAATCACATTCCATCTGAGTCATTGTTTGAAACTTCTATGACCAAAAACTGCTGTTTTATAAGGGTACCAAAAATATTCGAAAAATTCGATGGGTTGGATGTTGGTCTCTAGAAAAATGGAACCATTCCCTGGAAGTTGTTTTTAAAAAATTTGATTTCGATTTTTCAACATTATACCATTCAAGCAGGGTGATGTTTTTCTAAGAAAAAATACGGTCCATAGCTTCAAAAATGCACTTCTTGGGGGGTGCCATTTTTCTAGGGTAGCCCGAATTGGTTTGATGTCTGTAGCTAGATTTTCTTGGGTCCCTAATTTATACAACATTCATTTTCTAGTAGAAAATCACAGGCCCCAACCGGACCCGGTAAACTCACACCCGGTTCATACAATAATAGATAGATAGACTATGTACCATTTGTATGGACATGTTATGAATATTCCATCAATATCCTATTGAAATTCCATCATATAGACTGTATTCCACGAACATTAATTAGACTATCATATATATTCCATAATGCCCATTTTGGGCATTTGTCAAAACCTATATGAATTTTATTTCTCCATTCAGTTGGGAATTTCACAATCCCAACTGACGAAGTCATTTTTTTCAGAGGGGTAGGGCTCAACTACCAACCAGATTATCATTAACCATATAATAACCATATATTAACCATATATTAACAGTTACGTGTTTTTTGGGGAAACAAAGATCCATTCACCAGCCATGATTCTCTCCGGGTGCCTGGAAGAGGACTTGTTGGGAGTGTTGAAGCTACAGGAGAAGCCACAGGTGAAGAGGTCGGAAATCCGCAACGGAAAACATGGCCAAGCTTATGTGGAATCATAGGAAAATCATTTGAAAAATTGGAAAGTCATGGGGAACATGGGAAAAGAATGGGAAAAGTGGTGGGAAACATTTTGGAGAATGACAATCTTTAATGGGAATATAGGGGGAAAATCATCTACAAATGGGAAATAGAGTGGGAAAAAATATATCTTTACCTGGGGGATATGTTAGTTACACCGAAGCAACGAAACAAATGAGACTGGGTTGTCTGAAAATGGATGAACATGGCACTCAATTTATATATATATATATATATTGGCTATTTGGATGGAGAAGATGATGTTAGACCACTGGATTTTGATGATATACCGATATACCGTATTTCATTGGACCATCCCTGGTTCGATTTTCTTGGCGATGATGAACCCGGTCTGGCCTACCAAGTACTTGATATTTGTTCACATCTCATGTGGATATGAAGATGCTGAGATGATAAGATGGTGATTCTGGGAAATCACATCTGATTTGGGGCAAATGCTTTGAATGATCGCTTGCAAATCTGTTGAGCCCGACAAAAAAATGCCACCAGAATGGCCATCAGATTTCTCGCCTCCATGGCAGGCTGCTAGAAGACTGCAATGCTGGTCTGCAGAAGGCGGCCGCGTGGGTGTCAGGTCCCAGTGATTCCAGATCCAGCCGTGTTCCTTAGTCCAGGCAGTCCATCCTGGTGGTTATTGGCGAGTCATCGGTTGTCCGGGATTTCTGAATGGCAATATTTCAAGTCACCAGTTGATACTGAGAATAGTTGGTGTCCTGCAAACCTTTGCTCTTTCCAAAGGTCCGCTTTGGCAATTTGATCGTCCCCGATTATTGTTCACCCGACAGTAAACAATCCCCTATGTATCCCAATAATGTACCCAATTTGAATAATGTCTTTTGGCCATTTTTGGCCGTAGTAAGAACCATGCGCAGACCCTCATGTTTTTGTACTTAACCCCTTTTTCTATACCCTCAAAATACAGCATCTTGCGAGGATTAACTCCTATTGAATATATGATTAAACGGTAAACTATCATTTTCAACATCAACATCGCCAAAGATGGACATACTCTATAAGTGTACGTTTTTCGGGCAATGTTTGGTTTGATTACCAGAGGCCCGGGCGCTCCACTTTGGAGCTAGTTACTAGTTTCTCAGAACTACCAGAGAGTATATCCATGAATATTTCATATGATCATATCCCATCAAAAAGAACATGTCACGTCCACGATATCCCTTAAAAAAACCGCATTTTGTTGCAGGTCACAAGCTTTTCCCAGTCTCTTGTAGATTCAGAAGGACCCGACCCAGCCTGCCCCGTCAGCTCTTTCTGTGCTATGCCGCGGAGCCCACGGCTCGGAGGCGATCGACCAGGATCAATGGTGAGAAACGATGGAGATATTGAGATATAATAAGGATAAACCTGGGGTTGTTTAAGAATGGGGATATAATGGGAAAGAATGAGGGTAGATGGGGAATAGAACTGGAAAGTAAGCTATACATGGGGATATGGGGATGTGGATGTACTGAGCATACTCCATGGGGTATGACTAACCAAGTTGATATTTATATGCTCGCGTCCATCTGAAAATTTGGTATACATGGTATGCCCGTACATTAAGGTCATTGTGATGGGGCGAATGATCGTTATCCCCGTGTTTTGGGGTACCCTATTTCATACAAACCCATCTGGGCCACTGACAATTTGTTGATGGGTTGGCATAACTGTTTTGCCCTGTGGGAATTATCAGAACTACCCTCTGGTAAACCAACATAACTATAGAAAATCACCATTTTCTTGGTGGGGTAAATTAACTATAAATGGCCATATTCAATGGCTATGTTAAATTACCAGAGGGTAGCCCAGAACTAATCGGAAGTAGTCAATGGCATATCGAATGAACGCCGCGGACACTACTGGCACCTGACTTGAGCACGCGAGAGAAGGCCGCGCTCAGTGCGTTTGCAGAAGGACGCAGAGCTGGTGACGATGACCTGCAGTGTGCTTGGGCACCGCCTGAAAATCGAGGAGGGCATTCTTTGTGCTTTTGCCATTGCCAAGTACTACCTCGATCCCACGTTGACGCCAGGAGGCTTGACCCCGAAAGGAACATCCGTGTACGTCCAGGAGCAGCAATCGGATGCGGAGGAGCACGAGAAGTGGCTGGCTTCCTCCTGTGCAATGCGCAGTGCGTGGTGCAGATCGCCTTGTGGGGGGACGTGGCCAAGACATATTTTGACAAAATTCTCCAGTGGTTGGCAGAAACGCCGGATGGCAAGTTCCCGAAGGTGAAGATCGAGCAGCATCCGAAAGGAGGCACCCAACAGATTGGAGGATGTGTGCCGCGATTCTCCCAGATTTTTAGGGGTCGGAATGAACAAACAGACCTTTGTTGGTTGCATTGGAATCCTTCTGTAGTCTAATATTGTTCCTTGCTGTAAAAGGGCTTGGAGTGAGGTTAATTTTACATAGGATTGCCATGGCACATTTTAAGGCTTTCTTTTCGCCCTATGTTGACGATGGTTGGCACGTAGTCTCATGAATCCACACAGGTGTTACCCTCATAGGGTGCAATGCTCTTTAGTGGAGCTGGGGATAATCCCCCGTGAACTTGGTAGAGGTGCAATATTTCATGCGGTGGGGTAGGGGTAGTTTTCAATGGCTCATTTGAAATGATCGCACTTGCACAAATTGAAACTTGGTTTCTGATTGTGGATCCCCCTAAGAAAAATCATGGTGGATCTTTAAATGCTCATGAACAAGCATAGATATGATATGACCAACATTGTAGTGGTACCTTTCGACCCACGCATATCACTAGAAATGCTACAGAAGTCCATGGAAGATGTGGTAATATATGTTGGCACAGAAAAGAAACAAACATACAATAACATGTTGGGGTGTTTGCAAATATAGATCTCGTTTCTTGGCAAAATCCACCTGTTGAAGCCCGCTCCCCGTGCAGCAAACATTTGCGATGGAGGCATCATTCTGATTCTAAAGTGATCTAGAGGTAAGTCGGGTAAGTGATCCTTCTGCCAACTATTGAGACCCTGTGGGAACCAGAAATGATTGTGATTGCAGCAGTATAGCATCAAAAAACCCAAATGGCCCAGATCATCCTCCATGGCGCAGGTATATTGCCCACATCTACCCCCAAAAGATTGGCCACTTTTGGAAGAACATATACCCTGTTGATGGTACAAGGTGATGCTCCCCAGCCGCAAGGTTTTTTTTTCCCCAGGCCCATGAAACATCATCAAACTATCGATTTTTATGGTAGATAGATCATGAATAATCATGAAAACCTAATTTTTATTCATGATCTATCTACCATAAATCCCCAGTTAGCCTAGTTAAGAATCAACTTTGCTGGGGGCATACATTGATGGCACTCATTCTCCGCAGGTCTTATTGGAATTCCGACTCGGTCACGAGGCGCCTGGCGCCAACCTGGGCTTCTGGGATCCAACACAGCAGATCAACGGGTCCCGGGTCCAACGGAGGCTTCATAGTTGAGTCGTATGGCTTTGATTGTATATATTTAAATAATAATATGTGTATATTATTGTATTCATATATCTTATGGCTCAGTTATATGGCTTTCAGTAGAAATATATACACATATATGAATATATACACATAAAGTCTTAGTTACTAATCAGCACAAACAAGGAAAGGTTCCTACAGTCTCATGCTGTCTCCACTTTGCATCAGGGCTTCTCAAGTAGTTTCTAGAAAATGCGTTTGTTTGCTGACGCTTGCGGCGTTTGACCATTCCAGCACTCCAGCACAGTATTTGGCGAATGCCGGGACTTGCTGTGCTCTCAAGTGATTCAAAACCTGCATGCGGCGGGGAAAGCTTCCCCATACAATACCATCTCAATAGACAAAAAGGCAGCCATGATGCTCGTTTCCGTGACCTTCATCTCCTCCACTTGTGAGAAAGCGTCTACACCTCTGCCTTCCGAGAATTTGGCAGGAATGGAGGCGTCCGACCTTTTTGCCGCAGTCAAATCCATTGATGGAACATCCTTGGACCCCAGAAAACTTTTGGCCTTCACCGCTGACGGCGCATCGGTCAACGGGAGCCGACGGGCCAATCTTCGTGACGGGAACCATGTGGCCGGGAGATTGCAAGCTTACTTGTGGCCATCCCTTGCTAGTGCAGCATTGTTGTGACTTAAGCCACTCTATTTGGGGTTTCCCAAAATATAGGAGACCCCAAGACCATCTAATCTACTGGCCGTTTTTCATGAAGGTTTCCACATGTTTCCACCAACGGTGTAGTGGTAGCATGAGGCAGCCAGTTTCAGACGCATCCACCCCTTGCCTCCGAGGTGACTAGGATTGTGAATGTAAGGTGAATCATCCCCAAGTTTCTTAAATGGCCTTCATTCATGCTGGTGAATGATGTGTATTCATCAAGAATATCCAGGTGCCAATAGATACATGATTTACCAAGGTTGCCTATGTTTGTGCATTGCACACCCAACTATTGCGGACTATGCCGTAATGTATGCCATTTTTTTTCTCAGCAGAACCACAAGACACTATGTTGTTGTTGTTGCTGTTGTTTTCTGGATGCCCTCTTGTTATTGATGACACATATTCATAGATGGACGTATCAATAGATAGCTAGACAGATAGATAGGTAGATACATGGAGAGATAACGGATACCCAGATAGATACCATCATATCATGCCATATATATATGCAACCTGTATTCCATACTAGCACATTCAGCGTCAAGTGTTCCTGTCTGTTCCTTCACTTAATAGGCCCAGAATGATCACAACCTTAACTGCAGATATACATTTAAAAAACTTGCTGTACAGAGATATATATATATATATATGATAGTTGGGATAATCTGAGGCTATATTTTACATAAAAACATATAAGATTAGCTATATACATGGGTATATGTATATACACTTTAACTGCTGTAAATGAGCATCTCGATTCAGGTTGGTGGAATGTGTCATCGATCTATATGTAATGTTTATTTCTGTATATATATATATATATTAAATTTCATTATATATATATATAGTTATAGTATATGTAAACAAAATTAATATGTCAAGGGAACACACCTGTTGACGGTTCTATATGTGCCACCGCTGGACTTTGGCCAGATTTGCTGTGGACTTTGACTTCTTGGGCGAGGCAAGGGCCAGACCAACACGGCGGTGTGGCTTTCTCAACACGGTGCTGCAAAAACACCAGCAAAAACGAAGGGGGTTCACCAAGAGAATAGGAATTATAGTTGATTTATACAGTAATATATATCGGTTTATGCCAAGGGAATGGCAATTATAGTTGATTTATATTGGTTTATAGCTGAGTTGGTAAACACAACTAAGTACTCGTATATTTCTTGCATTTATGGTAGATAGATCGCATTAGTTAGATGGGTGACACTAGAGTAGCAAACATAGGTGGGGGACATCACCATAAACCAAGAAATATCAATAAACTCTCCAATGCAATATGGAGGTTTTCGAAGTCACGGGGGTACCTTCAGTCATCATATAGATGGGATTTTCCCTCAGAAAAACCATCCAGCTGTTGGGTACCCCCATTTTCAGGAAACCTCCATAGCTTATCTCTGTGGTTTCCCAACCTTGACGGGTCCTTGTGGGATTTGTTTGGTTAGGTCATGATTTTCCAGGCTAAATGGGGTATTTGTTCTATATTCAAACAAACCCATGTCATATTGTTGGTTGTATATCCCACAAAATATCCCTAGTATATTCCCATTGATAGATGATGTTCCGATGATTTTTCATCAAAATTGACATTGTGAAACCACATTTGGCTGACATCCCCATTAGAATTATCCATGCATTGCAACTGATTTATGATGTTTCAATAATGTCCCATTGAGATAGCCATTATTCGCCATGGTTTTCCCAGCGATTTTCTCATATTCGCCATGGTTTCCACCCCAAACCCAGAGCCAAAAACACAGCGCAGGTTAGCAACCTGCCTTTGCAGCGCATGTTCCAGGACAGGGTCATGTTGGGCAGGTTTTGGGTTGGACTTGGGATCCTGGGATCCTATAGGAACTGCAACAATAGGAGACATCTTTGGGGAATATTCGACAAATATGTGATTTTTCATGGTGATTTAAGGGGAATTTAATGGGAGATCACCCTAGTTAATTGGGAATTCTCTGAAATTCTGAAGAATTTGTGTGATTTTAATATATTTCAATGGGATCTGTTCATTTGGGTCCAGAAATTGAGTGTGATCTCAACAATGCCAAATTTAAACTAATGATGATGACATATTGCATTTACTAAGATGTTAGTGTGTATATATATTTATATGATGATTGCAACGTACATATGATGATTCAAGCCCCATTTTCAGACAAACGCTTTTCTCGCAGTGACTTCGGGAAACCTCCACTGGCTCCTTGGAAGCCTGTGTCGAGGATGCTTGCCAAAATCCAAATAGCGTGCGCGCGACCTGCCAGCACCAGGGGACGAGCCAGGGGGAAGGAGACAGGGACTGCGGTCGGAAACTCACCACATGGGGAATCTTTGGGGAAGAGGTTTTACTTTTCAGGGTCCCTTCATGTCCCTTAAGCAAATCTAAGCACGTGGCCGTGGCCAGACGTCGGATGGCGCAGAGCACGAGTCGCGTGCTGTCGCACCGAGACCGCTCGGACTTTGACCTGATGAGCGCGATAGTGTCATCGAGAATACCCGGCGTCCGCTTCACACTCGACGGTGCGGTCCACACTGAGTATGTGGTCGACATTGATTGGTTGCCCGGGTCGAACCCGCTGCGGGATGAGATCAGAGTCGTGCCGCCTCTGCAAGCCCCCGCGGTCGCTTTCTCTTCTCATCGATCTACCACGGCGGCGCGACAGCGACGGTGAGCCCCGACCCTGGAGAGCGCGTCGCCAGGGGTGCTGCGACGCTTATCTTTGCATGCTATCGGTCGCGCCTATCATCGGGGCCGAGGCTGCGCTGAACGTGGCCGACTTCCTCGACGCGGACATTGGCGCCGACGGTGCAGACATATTGCGCGGCGTGGCCACGATGCACGGTGAGGTGTCAGCGAAGCGCTCCGGACTCCGGCCATCTGATGTCGTCACGGTACTCGCCCCTCGCGGTCTCTGCCCACCTCGACCTCCTCGACATGATGTCATATCTTTTCCAAACGTAAACTCTTGTATGATGGGGAAGATGCAAGTTCTACATGTTTCTACCATCTTCTACAGGGTCGTCCAAAAGCTCCATTTGACATCATTCAGAAAATCACTTTTAACTGTTGGAATTTAGGTCATTTTTTCTGTAGCAGCCTAAACTATTGTCTTGTATAGTGACCCAATGAAACGCACTTTTTTCAACACATGTAAATACTGAAGTCAATTACGCGCTCCAGAGCGCGTAATAATGACGCGCTCCGGAGCGCGTAACAATGACGCGCTCCGGAGCGCGTAATCCATTCAAATAAAGTTCAAAGGCATTTAGTACCAGACTAAGCTATTGTCTCGTATGCTGATCCCATGTAATTAAATGAAACGCACTTTTTTCAACACATGTAACTACTGAAGTCAATTACGCGCTCCGGAGCGCGTAATAATGACGCGCTCCGGAGCGCGTAATCCATTCAAATCAAGATCGAAGCCATTTAGTAGCAGCCTAAACTATATTGTCTCGTATGGTCATCCCATGTAATTAAATGAAACGCACTTTCTTCAACAAATTTACATAATACTGAAGTCAATTACGCGCTCCGGAGCGCGTAATAATTACGCGCTCCGGAGCGCGTAATCCATTCAAACAAAGTTCAAAGCCATTTAGTACCAGCCTAGACTATTGTCTCGTATTGGTGATCCCATGTAATAAAATGAAACGTACTTTCTTCAACACATGTAAATACTGAAGTCAATTACGCGCTCCGGAGCGCGTAATCCATTCAAATAAAGTTCAAAGGCATTTAGTACCAGACTAAGCTATTGTCTCGTATGCTGATCCCATGTAATGAAATGAAACGCACTTTTTTCAACACATGTAACTACTGAAGTCAATTACGCGCTCCGGAGCGCGTAATTATTACGCGCTCTGGAGCGCGTAATTTGTTCAAAGCATTTCAAAGCCATTTAGTACCAGCCTATAGTATTGTTTCGTATATTGACCCACTGTAAGAAAAATGTACTATTTATTCAATACATGAAGTCAATTACACGCTCCGGAGCGCGTAATAATTACGCGCTCCGGAGCGCGTAATTTGTTCAAATAAAGTTCAAAGCCATTTAGTACCAGCCTGTAGGGCCTATATTATTGGACCCAATGTAAGAAACATGTACTTTATTCAATACATTTAAATACTAAAGTCAATTACGAGCTCCGGAGCGCGTAATCATTATGCGCTCCGGAGCGCGTAATTTGTTCAAATAAAGTTCAATGCCGTTTATTACAAGCCTAAACTGTTGTCTCGCATGTTGATCCCATGTAACTAAATGAAACGTACTTTGTTCAACACATTCAAATACTGAAGGTGTAATTTACTTTAAATGGCATTCAAAACCATTTAACATCAGGCTACGGACTCCATATACCAACATCTTTGTTGGGGCCCTTGGGCTCAGATATGTTCAGATTCAGATTCATTCCGCAGCTTGATGCTACCATTACTGTGGGCATGTACATGCTCACTTTTATGAAAGCAGTAATCTACTTGTCTAAGTATGTTTTTTCAAATTGTTTATCATTTTTTGTTGGTGGGAAATGGAGACACTATAATGTCACGATTAAGTGTGGTTACATGGACTCGCCATTTTCTTCCATCTCCACTCCCTTCTATTGCCTGTTTGGCGCTGATGGTGATGTTTTGCATTTAGGGGAGGAATTGTCCCCACATGATTCCGCAGCTGGATTGGATCAGCCATCAGCTTCGATTGGCGGTGGAATCTTGGCAAAACACAAATCCACTCAATAAGGGAGTTAGGAAAAACCTAACTCCCTTGTTGAGTGATTCAAGTTGAATCACTCAAGAGGGTAGTTACGTTTTATCTGACTCCCTTGTTGGGCCCTTTGTGTTCCAATTGATGTCACCTATTCAACAAGAATTACTCAACAAGGGAGTTAGGTTTTTCCTCACTCCCTTGTTGACCCGTTCGACGCGAATCACTCAACAAGGGGGTTAAGTTTTTCCCTACTACCTAATTGAGTAGATTTCACTCATTGCCTAGGATGCCCGTTCAAGAAGAATCACTCAACAGTGGGGTTCGGGCCAATCCCCGTTCAAGAAGAATCACTCAACAGTGGGGTTCGGGCCAATCCCCGTTCAAGAAGAATCACTCAACAGTGGGGTTCGGGCCAATCCCCGTTCAAGAAGTATCACTCAACAGTGGGGTTCGGGCCAATCACCGTTCAAGAAGAATCACTCAATAGTGGGGTTCGGGCCAATCCCCGTTCAAGAAGAATCACTCAACAGTGGGGTTCGGGCAATCACCGTTCAAGAAGAATCACTCAACAGTGGGGTTCGGGCCAATCCCCGTTCAAGAAGAATCACTCAACAGTGGGGTTCGGGCCAATCCCTGTTCAAGAAGTATCACTCAACAATGGGGTTCGGCCAATCCTCGTTCAAGAAGAATCACTCAACAGTGGGGTTCGGGCCAATCCGCGTTCAAGAAGAATCATTCAACAGTGCGGTTCGGGCCAATCCCCGTTCAAGAAGAATCACTCAAAAGTGGGGTTCGGGCTTATCCCCGTTCAAGAAGAATCGCCCAACAGTGGGGTTCGGGTCAATCCCCGTTCAAAAGGAATCACTCAACAACGGGGTTCGGCACTGAACAGTGGGGTTCGGCCAATCCCCGTTCAAGAAGAATCACTCAACAGTGGGGTTCGGGCCAATCCCCGTTCAAGAAGAATCACTCAACAGTGGGGTTCGGGCCAATCCCCGTTCAAGAAGAGCCACTAAACAATGGGGTTCGGCCAATCCCCGTTCAAGAAGAATCACTGAACAGTGGGGTTCAGGCCAATCGCCGTTCAAGAAGAATCACTCAAAAGTGGGGTTCGGCCATCCCCGTTCAAGAAGAATCATTCAATAGTAGGGTTCGGCCAATCGCCGTTCAAGAAGAATCACTCAACAGTGGGGTTCGGGCCAATCCCCGTTCAAGATGAATCACTCAACAGTGGGGTTCGGGCCAATCCCTGTTCTAGAAGAATCACTCAACAATGGGGTTCGCGCCGTTCCGCCTTCAAGAAGAATTGCGCAACAAGACAATAGTTTAGGCTGGTACCAAATGACTTTGAACTTGATATGGTGAATTATGCGCTCCGGAGCGCGTAATTTATTTTAATATGTTTGTTGGATAAAGTAGGTAGGCTTCATGTCCACAATGGTTTAGGCTGGTACTAAGTGGCTTTGAACTTTATTTGAATGAATTGCGCGCTGTGGAGCGCGTGATTTAGTTTAACTGTTGTTTAACAAATCGAAAGATACAGGAAGTTTCATGGATTCCATGAGGGTTCCATGAGGTATAATATATTTGAGTTGATAGCGTGGCCTGGTATTCAATGGTTTTGACTATTGTTTAAAATAAATTGCGCACTCCGGAGCGCATAAATTATTTGATTTCAATAAGGCCCAAAACAAATGAAAACCAGGCTAAACTATTCTCTCTGATATCAATCCGATGCAAATAAAACATAATTTACTCACTCAACAAAAATACTACAGCAAATAGAGTTTCATCTCGAGGAAATCCAGTTAACTTGTCACTCCAGCCAAGCCTTCATCTTTGTAAAGCACCCTTTGGTGATCGAACTAACAAAAACTCAATAGTTAATAGGGGGAGTCCGATCTGTGTGCGAAAAAGAAATCCAGCTGATTGCCATCATTTGTTTGTTTGATTTTGTTTGTGGGACTCAGAATTTGGTTTCATCATTTGATTTTCAAGAGGGTCATTTGGACAACCCTGTTCTACCCAACCTCAAGGGCTAGTGGAGGGCAAAAATTAAGAAAGAAACGAAATGCGTGTTGTAATCCCAAAAGTTAAATAGTTTCAATATGTTTCAATACTAAGCCCAGGCGAATTAAGGGGAAGGGATTTTCAGACGAAGTTAAACCTGTTCCGTTTGGGTCCAATTGTAGGTACCTCTCCATGACACGACTTGACCCTTAAAAAACCAGCTCGTCGAATCCGCTGGTGTTTCACCGTTTGAGGCAGACGACAAGCTTTTTGTGGAAGTTTTTCCACTCTTTCTGCTCATGTTGGCCAACAAGACCCATGCTGGTCAGGCATGGCAGGGCAGGTCGTGCTTCAGGGCTAAACGCTGCCTGGTGTTTGTTCTTTGAGACCGCAGCTGTTCTTTAAGACAGCGTGAGTTTGGAAGAAAATGATGATGTGAAATTTGACAGGAAAGCAATGTTAATGTTTGTTTTTTGCAAAGTATTCTTCAATAAATTGTCCAAGAATACTTTTGTAATAGCACGACATCCTGGAGAAAATGGGGTGACCCAGTCAAGCTGAAGATCAGCACATGGGATATGGAGCAGACGCAAACCACACGCCGAGGAGCTTGGCAACTATCTAGGGTTAGCCGCTAGCATAGTTGGGGTACATCTGATGGGCTGCACTCGGCATGATTCTTGATATAACACAACTACTACTTGCATAGTTCTCATGTAAGCCCTTGGATGTTTTTTTCCAAGCTAGTGTGTCTTGGTGCCTGATTTTTGCTACCATGAATCTTACAGTATCCGGGCTCCCAGTCCCTTACAAAGCTGTCTAGCAATACTGTACCTTCACCAGTAATATCCAACAAGTATGAAAGTTCCAGGAATAATGCGAGAGACTCTTACTTGTCCATACTTTTCGGGACTTTTGAATAGTTGCCATGGAAATCTTGATAAACCATCAGGGTTACACGCCAGTGAAAATACCTGGGGTCTCATTGTTGGTTTGAGGGAAAGCTTGTAGGAAGGTCCGGATTCCAGGCATGTCCAGTGGAGCAAGATCGGGTCAGGGACGCTCAGTTGTGCTGGATGTGGCTGCTTTCCAGCCTTTTGGGAGGCAAATAAAATCTCCCATGTGATGGCTTCAGGTTACAAAGCTGGGATATGCAATCTAATGCCTGGGAAGGGGCGGTGAAGGGAGCTATGGCTATCCTTCTGGTAATTAATTCAACATGGCAATAGAAAAGCCACCATGTATTTCGATAATTTTCTCATTTATGTAAATGCCCATTTAGTTCGTGGATTTCCCAGCTAGCCATGTTTGATGACACTGGAAGGTATACACGCAGAGGTAAAAAGAAGGTTGAGCCTATGATTGTGAGCGGGCAGTGAGGAGATAGATGATTCTTTTTTTTTATGAACGAACATTCACTACCCGTTTGGATGGTGTCTAAGTCTCCCATTTTTGATGATGTTGATAGAGGACATGTAAGGCACGAAATGTGGTAAAACCAGCAATTAGCCATACTCCAGTTACATGCAGACGCCCGAAAGACTTATAAGTGGGAGGAATAGTATGGAATGCTAACATGTACTAAGTATACCCAAAGCAGGGGTTGTGGCACAGGGTTTACCACACTACAATTGAATACAAGTGATCCACAATACCTGCCTCCTAAAGCCAAACACCTCCCCATAACCTTTTTGTTCCAGTATTTGATCTATTTTGGATGGCATGTCAGAGGCTTTACATCATCCAAGGATGGTATGCGTGAAGCAGTCCCCAAATGATCTGCTATGTCAAGTTATATCTCCTTATTTTTGCTACAGGATGGTGCTCCCCAGTTATAAGTTGGTTTATAATCCCATTAACTATAGATATATCTACCGTAAGTCCTAGTTATTAGAGTTATAAACCGACTTCGGTATCTTGGGGGTACCACCTTGTAGTAAGCACCCACCATTACCCAATTTTTGGCGCTCTCCAGAAAGGTGCCGTTGCTCTTCCAACGGATCAATGCCATCGCCTGCCTGGGGACCCAAGGGGATCAGCATCGATGGATTCCCCAAGATTTTGGAGGAGAAAAGTTTGTGGGACTTGCATGATTTCTGGCGAAACATGATGAAACATTTTGATGTTCAGAATGTCATGCCTTGTGTTTTCTTGGCATTTGAGGTTGATGAGTCATAGTTTGCTCTCGTTTTTGATGTTTCAGGATTGCTCCAGCCCATGAAAGGGACATGACTGCCAGAAAGGGGGTACCTGGATCCTGGGGTGTCGGGGCCAACCCTGTTTTTGGAGTCAAATTGCTTTGGCCCATCTGAAGCTCGTTGAGGATCTTTAAATGACGGCAGATGCAAAACACCCAGTTTTGAGCAGGCATTTTGTAGAATTCGAATCATATAAATCCGCACACATGGATAGAACGATACTCTTGCAGCCATCACTCGCCTGGAAGAGAGAATGAAGAATTGCACCTGGCAACTTTCAGGCAATAGGCAGGAGAGGAATACGAGCCTCAAGGCAATGAACAAGGTGCTGAGCCATACTCTTCGCATCTCTGACCTCATGGCAGAGCACTCCGAGCAATGTCAGAAAGAGCACAAAGAATTGGTAGAAGCTCTTCACCAGCTCTCACAAGTCATCGGTGTTCAGGGACCAGCGGTTGGAGTGGGGAAGATTCCCCGGCAAGAGCCTGTTCGCCGCCGGCTCCAGTGTATGGGACTTCGGGATATGCAGCATTGCCAGCATAAGCATTGGTGGACAGTCAATGATATGGCAAGACGAAAGAAGTCACCAGAATTTCGCATGAGTTCAACATACGACAGATATATTTTGATATACTTTACTATAGGTTGAAACATGTTTCCCATTGTTTACTATGTCGTTCTCTTGTTGTTACCACTTTTTTACCAACAGTTTACCAAAATGTATGTTTTCATTATATGGATTCCCACTATTCGCATTGGTAACTACAATTTCATAGATTAATTCTACCTATAGATTTTCCAATTTATACCCGGAGATTTTCTAATTTTACCATCTTTGACCATCTGGGGGAGTATATTTGATAATAGCTATATTTTAACTACTGTATATCATCATCCCCCTGTTATAACTATAATTTGTCCCATGGCCACGTGTTGCCGCATGGCATGTCCCGAGGTACGTCGACGCAAGCGCCGCGTTTTGGCCTTGCGAAGGAGCCGTTGCTGCCTTTGCGACTTGGTGGAACTGTCGGTGCTGGGGGATTTTCATGGGAAAATCCTCGGAAAATCTGGAACATCAGTGGGAAAATCTGATATGAATCATTAGTTTTATTGGATAAACATGGGAAAATCATAGGAAAAACATTGAAAAAAAACATGGATAAATACGAGCAAAAGCTGGAATGTGTAACACAAATCAATTCAAAGTGGCGGATTCTTCCAACAAAAAGGTGAGTGCGATATGGACATTGAGGGAATGTTTTAAAAGTGCATAAAAGTGCGCGGTTATCAAGATGGTTTTGGGATACCCAACACAACATGTCGACCCCAGATGAATGTTAGTCCATGTAAAGCCTACTTGTAGTCATGATTCTAGTTCGCGAAGGATAGAATTACCAGGTTTCAGAATTCTTGATGCTTCAATCCCCATTTACAATGATGATCCCCTGATTTCCCAAGAAAAAGATCCAAAATCACCATGACCTCAGTGCTTCTATGACTTTCCCATGGATTTTCACCGCAACCCGCAACCTGCAAAGGTCCAAGGATGCCCAGACACGACGAAGCAGCCTCGTGTCCATGGGGTGCGACGGGACTTCGGGTGGAGATGGATGGTACCAAAAAAGAGAGTTTGATATGGTTAAAACTGTAAGTTGTTTCAACAGCTATAATGTCAACCCTGGATTAATAAACCCCTAGGCTGTTTAATTGGGAGGGTACCATTTAAGTATTAGATTGTGACTATTGGAGGAGTACCCCCCTAATTAATAAACCATGGTTTATTAACCCGGGGTTGACATTATATGGTTAACCACATAATATAGACGTATTTTTTTAAGAAAAAAAGTAGTTGTGGTTTAGCTCATAATAAGCACCGTTCGCAAGAATTGGTTCACCAATTCATATTACATAAGCCCATATAACCGCATTTTTGTACCCCATGATGGTTTATGGTACTTATAACTCTTGTAAACGGGGCGTATAAACCCTCAACTTGTGGTCTAAAAAGGCACGATGAATGCGAATTTCAGGATCCTAAAATGGAGGTACGTTAGTACCATATAAGACCATATTTTGTGGGGATATTCCCTGAAATTTAGGCCAAGCATATATGGAATCGGTAGCTCCAATTCAAATCGGTTCCTTTTCGTCATGGCCATTGATGGTGGGGATCCCGTTTGGGGATGATGCGAAGCATGCGAGGTTGGAATCAGGATTTCCCATGTTTTTCCCATCGTTTTCCCATGGTTTATATTACTTTTACCATCCTTTCCCATGCTTTTTGACCCATTTGTTGACGCATTTTACCCATCTGATCGCCAGGGAGGAGTCGCGACGTCAGGAGACCGGCTTGTCCTGGCTGCTGAACAGCACCTTTTAGGAGGTTTTAATTGGTCCCTGGCTATGGCAATCATGGGAAGATCATGCGAAACTCATGCGAAAATCAGTGGAGAATGGCAATGTTCATGGGAAAATTCGTGAGGAACATGTTTGTTTTTTGTAGGAAATCATGGGAACACCCATTCAACAACGGCTATTGATGTTAAGAACTTGGAAAAAATAAATATGGTGACAAGAAATATGGTGATAAGATAGCATCATCATATAATATATATATATACATCTATAATATGATATGGTCATCTCCCTTATTGTTTATATCTCAGATGATCGAATTATCCTAGTATATCACCATGATTTTTTTGAGAGATTCCCAAGCGACTGGATGGACCTGCGACTTGAGGGGACAACCCTGGGAATTCCGATGGGAAAACATCACCCACTGGATGGGGAGAAACTAATCCTGTTGTTTTTTGTGATGTTTATGGAAAATCACCAGCCAACTCAACCAGTAAAAGATCACATTTTTTTGTGGACTATCAAAGATTGACCATGAAATACTGAAGGTGGGATAGTAGGATTAGTTTGCCGCAGTCCAGGTATGACATGGAAGATGATTGAACATGGGTATCTGAGACCCAAGAATGGCAGTATAATTTGGTATGAAATTGGTTGTAACTTATATACATGTTATACACATGTTTACTTGTTTATTCACCAAAGATGTTCGTTTATGTCTCAACATTCTTTAAATGTACTGGTAGAGATATAATATTTTTGTACATTTTGAACCGCTACCCATCCACAGAGGGTGTTTGACTGGTCATGCTGCTCATGATCCTGTTTGTATATAAGGCCGTGTGGGTCAATGCCAGAGTGCTGGTGATGTTGCCAGCATGTTACTCTTGTGGAAAACCCAATGCTCAATCATCCCAATTTAGTTTTATCATAAGGCATTTATTTGGGATGATGTAAAAAGTACCTCAAGCGGTAGTGGCTATGACCCACACCAGCAATTGGTGCGACAATCGTTGCAATTTGGATGTTGCTTGTGTCAAATGCACCGAAGAAATTCAGGGGATGATGTAGGGGGATGCAAGTCTGGATGGATTCCGGGGGGGCTTCTTCGACAGCTTTGGAAAAAATAATTTTACAATTAGAAATCCAAAGAAGCTTGGTATTTGTAGAAGTTAACAAATATTTGATCGAAAAAAACTTATCTTTAAAAAGGCCTATAAATATAAAGGCTTTTTAAGAAAATAATTCAATAAGTTGATTCTAAAAAATAAATATTGAAAAATTATATAAATTATTATTTAATTCTTAGATTGGGCCCTCAGAAATATATTTATCACAGGATATTTCGTTTTTACCATCTCTCCCGAAACCGCCGGGTCCATCTATGATTTCGGACAATAACATTTGGAAAAAAATATATATTTGGCAATTCAACATCCAACGAAGATTTGTTGCATTTGTATTGAGATGTTAATGAAATATATTGATCGAATAAATAACTATTTTAAAAAAATAGATATAAATATATAATTTTTTTTAATTAAATATAATTACAATAAATTGATTCTAATAAAATAAATATTGAAAAATTATATAAATTATTATTTAATTCGATATAATTACATATATTTAAAAAAAAATGGAAAAAATAAAATATAAATAATTATAATTATATAATAATTAAGAAATAACTAAATTAATTAATTAATTTTGAAATAAAAATAAAATTATATAT